TCTCTAGCAAGACACTATGACTATCTATCTCGAATAGAGTTTGTTCGTGATCATACGAACGCCGGTGATGATTCCGGTTGATGATCCTTTTGTATCACGTTATCATATGTTGAATATAAGGCATGGACAAGCCACCTTATCTGATTCGACTGCTTTCTCGTTCACTGAGTTCGACTGTCTGAAATAGACGACGTTCGTCTATAGTGCGGCCACACATTTCTACAGTCTCGCTCACACGAGGGGCCCAGCGATATCTCTCTCTTTTACGAGAGGTACAAATCCCGTCTTGACTATCTACAATCCAGCACATGATTCGTTTCGTACCTGATACACGCCTTTATAGTCCTCCTGTTACGCAGGACGTTTGACGTAATCAAAGTACGCAACTCCTCATGTTAGATTCCGTAGATATCTCAGGTCTTAGGATCCAATCACGGAACCGCCATATGAGATTCAAGTCATGACGCTAGTCCATGTGACAATCTCATGCGGGTTAATCCAGTATTCCGTTCTCCAACGAATACCTATGATTGTGATCGTATCCAATACCTATGATCATCTATATGATCATCAATCACACATCATACTAGTCTTATTATGTCATCATTCGCCCCATAATGACACAAGACTAGGGAGTTAAGTATCATTCATAATGATACATGGATTTCATAACACATCAAGCATGCCAAAACATGTAATGAATAAAATACTCTCATAAAACCGTAGAAAGTATCAATACATCAAATGTATCTAAATAAAGCTCATACAGCAGTACATCATAGAGCACTAAACCAACACAAACCACCAATCGAAATTTTTTTCAGGTTGATTCTCTGAGCGAATTGGCAGAGCCTTGGTAATCTAGCCCTAGAACCATCATCATCCACAATCTCGCATAAATCTGCTGCTAGATCTAAGCCAGCCAACACAACTACATGTATTGAAGCTTCAATATGTCCTGCTCTATCGGGATCTGAAACACCTGTTGTTGTATCCTGTTTTGCATCCTAACACGAAATTATCAAATCGTTTATCTTAATCTGAGATCCCGTAAACATAGTAACGCACGTCCCGTTTAGGAAAACAAACAAACATCATGGATACGTCAATATACAATAGATTATCATGTAGTCTAACAAAGCCAAAATTCGAAAGCAATGACCATTTATGGGGAATTTTTTTTCCGGATAATTGTAAAGATAAACCACTTACCACTGAGACAAAGAAAGTTGTGCAAAGCTTTTCCTCATTCTCCTTTTGTGTCACTGTCAAGGGAAACTCCAACCTCTCCAAGTCTTCGTCTTTCATGCTCACACATAGAATTCCAGTCTCATACTTAACAATAAGATCCATAGCTTCAGGTGTTACCAATGAGCGGTACTAAACACTGAATTCCGACTAAATGAAAATCGATGAGTAAGCTTTGCTTAGTGGTACTCTGTCAATATTCTAAACTTCTTTCTCATCTTATTTGGAATGAGTAAATACTCATTATGAAAATTGTAGAATCCAAAAATTAAAATCAATCAAACATTATAAAAAAGCTTCAATTATAGGAAATTTCAAAGCCTAAAATCCAAAGAAAGCATGAAATAATTATATTTAGATTTTTTTCATAGATTTATATAATAATTTTAATAAAAAATATTAATTATTTGAAATTCTCAAAACACATTCTATTTTAAATATAGAAATCTATAACCAATCAAATATATTCAATTTGCAATCTATCAAATATTGATATATAATAAAATTTTTAAAATAATATTTATAACGAATAAAATATACTGTGACATTTGTATACAAGTTTATCATAAATATTGATGTTTATAACGTTTGTCAATGTTTTCTTATAGTTTCATTTTCCACTCTTCATTTCTCCATTTTAAAAAAGTTTTATTTTAATTTTGTAATAATCTGTTGACATTTTTTATTTTTTATATCATTATCTCAAGATTATTATATAATATTATATTATATTTTGTTCATTTTACTTGAATAAAATCATCAAGATAACTAATACATTTTAAATGTAAGTGTAATCAAATAAAAGTTTAAATAATATATTAAACTAAGGTTCAATTAATTTTTTTAAGATTACATGTACAAGGTTTATTTTGGTGCTTGATGCCTTGATTTCATCAAATATAACCGTTAATATCCATAGTTTATTACATTTTTACGTAATTTTCACGGAGGTTTTTTAATTTACTAATCTATCGTCCTCTTAGTTTTTACACTAAAACAGTTTAGCTAAAATTATAATTAGTTTAACTATTTTAGCAAAATTTTGTTTTTCATTTTCGGAATAAATATCTAATCCCTCGTACATAAATAGTCCAGGTTCCTCATTCAGCGTTTCAATAGGAAAAAATCGGATATTCGTCTCGATCCGGAGATCGAATATATTCGGAAATCAGATGTCCGTAAAGTAAGATCGGATTTTTATTTTGTCAGACCCCAAAATTTACTATTATACCCCGTTAGATATAGGAAATTACAAAAAACATATTTTAGCCGTTCTCTCTCCTGCCGTCATCGACTCTCTCTCTCTCTATATATATATATATGTCGATTCACAAATTCACTCTATTCCTCGTGGATTTCAATTAGACTTCGGCTTTGGCCTTCATTTCGTGTGGTAAGTTATTTACTTAATTTTTTATTTACTGTTTCGATGATGTGGTTTTTGTCCGATTATATTTTTCGGCATAATTCGATTTGGAAACGACACCGAGTTTTTCGATACGACTCGATTCGAAAACAAAACCATTTTTTCGGTACTATTCGATTTGGAACAGTATCGAGTTTTTTTATACGATTCGATTTTTTCGGCACGATTCGATGCGAAAACGACACCCAATTTTTCGGTATGATTTGATTCGGCGCAATATTAAGTTTTTCGATACGATTCGAATTTTTTGATACAATTCGATTTGGAAACAAAACCGAATTTTTTGGTACAATTTGACTCGAAAAGGATACCAAATATCTCGATTTAATTCGTATACATATATAAATATCTATATATGTTAATTTTTATATATCTAAATATAACAATTTTAATTAGTTACAAAATGAGTTTAATTTTAACTAAATATATAATGGGTTTAATGGATTAACCATTTCATCTATGAGTTTAATAGGTCAAAACCTATTTAACCCATTTTAAAAAATTAGCCAAATGGACTAACCCATTTGGATGTATAAATAGATCAGAATGAATCGATCCAAATAATTTTGTGCCATTTTGACATTTCTATATGATTCTTGCAAAAGAGAATATGAAAGTGGAATAACTAGGGATGTCAATTAAGCCCGGAGCTCGAAACCAGGCCCGAACCCGCCCGAAAATTATAAGGACATGGGCCTAAAAAATGTAGGCTCATTAAACTTTGGGATTTCGGGCCTCGGGCCAAATGGGCTACGGGCCGATCGGGCCGGGTCAGTCGGGTCTCGGGCCGGGCTTGAGGCCCGTTAATTTTTTTTTGTTTTTTCTAACCTTCTTTTCTAAACCAAAGTTTTACCCCTCTATACTTATAAATATGTGTGCCTAAATATATATATATATATATATATATTTGAACCAAATGATGAACTTTTATATCTTGGTTCCAATTAAACTTTTTAAAGTGACGGGAGGTTTGAATTTTTTAACCATATTACATCATATATATATAAGTTTACATTTTAAAAAGGGTAAAAGTTTTCAAATATATATTTTTAAACCTTTGTTTGTATATGAACATATTGATTTTTTTCTATAGGTTTTAAATTAATTACATGATAGAATTTCTTTTTATATTATGTTTGTTATTTTTTTATCACGTTTCAAAGTTTTTAATCGCATGTTGTGGTGTTAGAGAATTGAATAATTGGATAATTTTTTCAATTTTAATTTTATTTGTGAACTAAATGACTTTGTTGTTATCGGTTTTAAAAATATTTTTGTTGAATGTTTCATAATAATAATAATATTATTATTATTATTATTATTATTATTATTATTATTATTATTATTATTATTATTATTATTATATTATTATTATTATTATTATTATTATTATTATTATTATCGCAAAAAAATATTTTTATTTAATAAAAAGCCCGAAGCCCGGCCCGAACCCGCCCGAATCTCTGTAGGGCCGGGCTCCGAGCCATCAATCCTAGACCCGAAAAATAAATGGGCGGACCGGCCCGGCCCGATCAATTCTAGGCTTGAATTGAACCCGGCCCGAACCCGGCCCGACCCGTCCATTTTACACCCCTAGGAATAACAAAGAACATGCTGGATCAATTAGCCTCGAAGGATTGGTCAGATTGGATCAGTAATGGAGAGCCAAACATCCTCCAGGGATGTCGTAGTCGTCAACAATTTGGATTCCCTGAAGATGATTATGTCCCTTATCAACCTGTCAGCCGCAAGTCGGAGAGCTGCTACCGTCTTGGATTCGCTCCGAAACAACCTGCATTTCGTTCTAGCCATATTGTGTGTGCCACTGCTTGCAGAACCAACTTGGTGAGCTCCCTCCTTAGACAGGATTCACTGTCAAGTTGACTGCGTAACCAGTCTATGCATTCTTCTAGGGATGATGGAGGAGAGATGTAGCATGCAGATGCAAAGATCTCCCAGATCACGTTGCTGAATTCGCAAACGAAGAAGAGATGGTCATGAGATTCTGGAGCTTGCTGGCAAAGAATGCATGCAGTGGGTGCAGTAATGCCCCATCTTTTAAGTCGATCAAAAGTGGGTAATCTGCCAAGAAAGATTTGCCATAAGTTAAACCTAAGGCGCGAAGTAGCGAACCTAGATCAAACAAGTCGAAACCATGAAACCCCCGGTGCACGATCCCTCATTAGATTCTAGGTTTTTGCTGAAGATAACTCCGTACTGTAACAGTCCTAGTTGTCTTCCATTCGAATCGGTCTGGGCCACCATCCCTCGATGGAGGAGGAATAGAATGGATGTAAGATTCGTGCTACTGCAAGATTGTCTTTTGCCTCTGTTGCTCTGTCAAGGAAGAGAGGTTCCCCAACTGAAGTGGCTATTCGGCTCAGGCCATCATGGCTGAAGAGCTTGGGAGGCACGTTCCGGAGCTCTATCCATGTACGAATGGATTTGAGAGCTGGCTTGTCCGGATCATGGTCCAGGTTCCATGCCGTGACCAGTAAAGGGTATTCACCGATGTGCCAGAGGTCCCGACCCAAGACGTAGTTTTCCACGGACAGATTAGGGAGTTTGAAGAGGAAAGAGCTATTACCCATGGCGTGAACCCGGATTGAGGGCACCACGTACCCAAAGGAGGTTCACAAATCCAATAACACGACCCATAGACGGCGGACTCCACAGAACTTGCCGATTACGAAGAGTTCCCACTCCTTCCGGGACTCAGTGAGGGATTCCTGCGGAATCGTGACTATCGGAAGACCCGATGAGTGAATCTGGCTCACCAATTTTCTTTAAGTATCGGAGTGAGCCTGAGACTTTCTGGCTCCAAGTGGGCTGATTGGCGAGAGGGGGCTGGCATGCTGTCACCGAGGAGCCACTAACTGGGGCAGAGGAGGGCAAAACCTGCGCCAAAGTTTCCCCAACGATAGATGGGAGGTACAGCGACGGAGGGAGATTCAGTAACCCATTAGAACCAAGGGGTTTGGGAGGTCCCTGGCAGGGAAGAGGCTGAGGGTCAGCAACTCCCATGGTCTGCAGGTCCTGCGGAGACGAAGGGACCGATCGATTCCGTGGGTTCATTACGCGAGAACCCTTGGGGGTGGGAGAATAGGTGCGTGAGCGGATTTTGGATGGAGGAGGAGGGAGCTGAACGAGACATGATCGGGGTTTTTTCCCGGCCGTCAGTGGCCGATGGATTGGTTTCTATTGCTCCATTGCTCAAGCTCTTTGATTGTTTCTATCGATCCGATCGATACGTATGTATGCATGTATGCTGGTGTTTGTTTTGCGGGAGGTTCGCCTGCAAATTCAGGATTTGTTTAGGACACTGCAGGATGGAAAATGTTAAATTGCGATGTCTCTTTTTGGTTAATCGAATGTCAAAGTCTTTTACTCCATTTGAAAATTTTCGAGAGCGTGTTCTAGTTGTACCCCATTTCTTTGGATAATCTGAAGTTATAAGCAATTCTTTTTTTCCAGTTTTTTTTTTTATGATGCTTATCACCCTATGCTTTATCTTTGCTTTAGTGCAGTTTTTTCATCCAAATCATTGTTTTGTTTGAATCTCCCGACTTCATTTTTATTTTTTTGCAGAATTTCACCTTTGTCCAATCATAGTTTTATTGCCTCTTCGTTTTGCAGTTGTCTGTTAGATCGTCCGAGGTTTGTGTATCTTTGGATCCCTTGCCATGAGCTCGTATCTTTTTGAAAGGAGAATAGTTACTTGACTGGCTGTTCTTCACCTCTTTGTCCAGGCGACTTGTTTGAGGAAATATCGGTTTCCATCTCATTCCATCAATGTAAGTGGCTCTGTTCTTCTTTCACAATGCAATCTCACCATTAATTTTTTTTATAATCCGGAAGTTGGCCCGACTACATCTCCCAGAGAGAACCGAGGAAGCCTAGGTGAGTGCCGCGCTTGGGTTTGAACCCAGGTTTGCATGTTCTCTTACCATTAGGCCACCAAAACTTGAGTCTCTCACCATTAATTTATTAATGGGTGACTCATCTAGCTTCTTGTATTTATCCTCTGTTTTATGTTTTAAAAGATTTAAGCAAAGTAGGAGGAGCCAGTTCCTGATAACTTGGAAGAATCGAAAATGGGCGCACCTAAAGAAATATTTCTCAAGGACTACCAGATGCCTGATTACTACTTTGATACCGTATGTTGTTATGTTTCAACTTTCAACTTGAGTATATGATACGACCGCAATCATTGTATTGTGATTGAGTTTTCTCATATACTCAATTTAGGTGGGCCTGAGCTTCTCCCTAGATGAAGAGAAAACAATTGTCACCTCCAAAATCAAGGTTCTTCCTCGAGTTAAAGGTACAAAACTCTGTACTTGCTACTGCATTTCAAAACAATTTTCTCTTTTCTTTTTGAAGATAGACATTCGAATTTTTTTTTTTTGTTCTTGTAGGCCTGCTTCTTCAGTATGTAGCTTGATTCATGGAAACTGCATTTCACAAACTGTTTTCTGAACAAGTTTTCTTCTTGATTAGGTGCTTCTGCTCCCTTGGTCTTGGATGGGCACGACTTGAAGCTACTTTCGCTCAAAGTTGATGGGAGAGTGCTAGAGGTATCTGATACACTGAAACTTGATCCTGTTTCAAATGCTATACCTCTGTATCTTGAGTTCTTTTCACTTTGGTCTCTTTTCCTTTCTGGTTCGTCAATTGTAGGAAGGGGATTATAAGCTGGATGCTCGCCATCTCACTCTCCCTTCACTGCCGGCCGGTGAGTCCTTTGTCTTGGAAATCGACACTGAGATATACCCCCAGAAGAATACTTCACTAGAGGTAGGCTTCCTTGATTTTCACATGATCTGATTTTTTAAAATCTCGATGGTTTAACTGTACACTTCTAACATCTTTGCCTTTCTCACTTCAGGGACTTTACAAATCCTCTAGGACCTTTTGCACACAGTGTGAAGCAGAAGGTTTCCGTAAAATTACATTTTACCAGGTTGGTTTTTGGAGAATTTGAACAGATAAGATGGCCATTGTCCGTGTAATATATCCTACATTCTTATAGCTGTGCTTTAACATGCGATGAGTAGGATCGCCCTGATATTATCGCAAAGTACATGTGTCGTATTGAAGCTGATAAATCACTCTATCCTGTATTGCTCTCCAATGGAAATCTCGTTGCTCAAGGCGATCTTGAGGTTAGCATTAGACCTATCACAAAGTAAAGTCTGTACTTTCTTCTTTGTTTGTTTAGTCTCTTTTTCATTGGTTCCATTTATAGGGCGGCCGGCACTATGCACTATGGGAGGACCCGTTCAAGAAACCTTCCTACCTATTCGCACTGGTGGCTGGACAGCTGGTGAGCAGAGATGACACATTTACCACACGCTCTGGTAGGGAAGTATCTCTTCGAATCTGGACTCCTGCAGAAGATGTACCAAAGACAGCTCATGCCATGTATTCTCTAAAGGCCGCCATGAAGTGGGATGAGGATGTGAGTACAACAAATTTTGGTCGTTATCTATTCGTATTGGTTTATGATACTGAAGCGGCTTTCCCTTGCATACACTTTAACAGGTGTTTGGCCTCGAATACGACCTGGATCTCTTCAACATTGTTGTTGTTCCAGATTTTATGTACATACAAACAAATAGTGCTTTGATCGTTTCTTTTGCTTTCTTCACCTGGGTACTTGGGAAACTTATTGGTCTTCTGGTTAATGGTTCAGGGGTGCCATGGAAAACAAGAGTTTGAATGTATGTCTCCCGACCTTTTGTTCTATCATTAGAATAAACGACATCCATGTTCATCATACTTTGTCTCAATAGATAATTCATGGGCTTCTCTTTCCAGCTCTTCAATTCCCAGCTTGTGCTGGCATCTCCGGAAACTGCAACAGATGCTGATTATGCCTTAATTCTGAGAGTTATTGGCCATGAAGTAGGTTGTTAATTGTTATAGCATAGAACGATTCCTGAAACCTCTTGTCTGGTGTTTTGTGTTATTTTTTAGCGATGATACTTCTTATTCTTTTTTATGTGCAGTATTTCCACAACTGGACAGGGAACAGGTCAACCTCGTCCATCTCTCATCTCTCCCTTTTCCAGATGTTTATAATCAAAGAATTCTTTTCTGAAGATCAATGCATTTCCCACATGCTGTCTGAAACAACAGGGTGACATGCCGCGACTGGTTCCAACTCAGTCTAAAGGAAGGGCTTACTGTCTTCCGTGACCAGGTATTATTTACCTTGGCGCTCACTCAAGATACTCAGGACTTTCTCTCTTTACTGAAAGATATGCTGTGTTTTTTCCAGGAGTTTTCATCTGACATGGGAAATCGCACTGCGATACGCATTGGCTATGTTTCGCCGCTTCGAATTTACCAGTTCCCAGAGGTGCTTGCTTTCGTTGTGCACCATTTCCTTCTTTTGAGGCCTTCGTGCATGATTTTCTCATTGTTTTTTTGTTGCTACATAAACTGCAGCAGTTCTTTCAAAAATAGTCATAACCAGTTGTTTTGTCTTGTAATTTATCAGGATGCCGGTCCAATGGCTCATCCTGTTCGCCCGCATTCTTACATCAAGGTCAGATCATTGATTGTTTCTCTTTTCAAAAGTGTTGATATACTTCATGTTATAGGTGTCGATAAATTGATTCTTTTCTCTGTGGCAGATGAACAACTTCTACACAGGCGAGTTTCTGTTTCCTCTGAAACTAATCCGTTTTGTGATCTTGGTTTCTGTTCTCTAATACATCAGGGATTACGTGAAATTACTTCATTTTTGATTTCATGTGACCCGCTCGAAACTGATTCTCATCTGGCTATCACCTGCTCTCTCAGTGACGGTATGACCTAAGAATCTTTTATTCCTTGTTTCCCTTTCTCCACATATTCATATATTTTCTTTTGGTTTATATCTAACGGAATGGTTTTGTTTTGTGATGTGGTTTCCAGGTCTATGAAAAGGTTTGGCACTTGAACGATAGTGATCTCATTTCCTATGTTGTATCCCAATCAAGAACTTTTATTTTAACAATAAATGATCCCTTAGGGAGCTGAGGTTGTGAGGATGTACAAAACGCTACTAGGAAGCCAAGGATTTCGAAAGGTTGGTTTTCGAAGCCGTCTGTATATCTTTTTGTTCTTTAGAGAGGTTTCCAGTCCAGTGCATCTTGGTTACTTTTATTTTGTCCATGTGGTTCAGGGTATGGATCTCTACTTCGAAAGGCATGACGGGCAAGCTGTGACTTGTGAAGACTTCTTTGCTGCCATGCGAGATGCGAACAACGTAGATTTTGCAAATTTCTTGCTATGGTGTGCTGTTTCGGTGTTTGATGTTAATTTTATAGTGATGACTCTGGGTTTTCATGCTTTCTAATGTGATGAAATGTTTTAGGTACTCTCAAGCCGGAACCCCGGTTGTCAAAGTGACATCTTCTTACAATGCCAAAGACCGTACTTTCTCTTTGAAGTTCAGGTGTTGGTCTACTTCTGTTCTGCTTTTGAGCCATGTTTATGATGACAATGAATTTTGAGCCCTGACTAAATTAGAGTTACTTAAACCGGTGTTTGAATCCCATACCTTAACAGATATAAACATCATCGACCCACCTTAGGTTTTGAAATATGGGGCTTCTAGAATTTGATGGCTCCAGAAACAACGCTGTAAAGGATATTTTCTAGTTTGTTTTGTCATCGACACATTGGTCTTGCCTTTTTGTTTCAATATCATCATCGTCTTAATCCCAAGATTATTTGGAGTCGGCCGTATGAATTCTTCTTTTCCACTCATTTCGGTGGTGCGTCATCTTGACTTTTTGTTTATTTAAAAGAAAAACCACACTGGTCGGTTTAACATGTTAACATTTTGCAGTCAAGAAGTACCACCAACTCCAGGGCAGCCCACCAAAGAACCAATGTTTATCCCAGTGGTTGTCGGTCTTGTGGGCTCGAGTGGTAAGGACATGAAACTTTCTTCTGTTTATCACAAAGGCGCACTGGAAACCATTTCAGGCGGCAGCACAATACTTCTAGTGACCAAGGTCGGTTGTGAAAATTTTCTTCGAATCCATGTCTTGTTCATTATCATGTTTGCTACTATTTCATCATCACATCAACATCAACATCAATATCGCCTTAATCCCAAGTTTATTTGGGCGGATGCATGAATTCTTCTTTTCCACTCATTGGTTTTGTGTCATATCCTCTGAGATTTGCAACACATCCAAATCATTCTGAACTTAGTGTTTTGTTTATGCACAGAAAGAAGAAGAATTTGTGTTCTCTGATGTATCCGAGCGGCCAGTTCCATCTCTACTGAGGGGATTCAGTGCTCCAGTTCGTCTTGAAACCGATCTTTCTGATGACGACTTGTTCTTCCTGCTAGCCCATGACTCGGACGAGTTCAACCGGTTTGTGCTTGTCTAAAACATATAAATTATCATGCTCTTCTCATGTCGATCATCATTCATTCCTGGGATTTCTGTATTTCAGCTGGGAGGCTGGTCAAGTCCTTGCAAGGAAGCTTATGCTAAGTTTAGTTTCTGATTTCCAGCAAAAGAAGCCGTTGGTTCTGAATCCAAAGTTTGTGCATGGTCTTAGCAGTATACTCTCCCAGTCAAGTCTAGACAAAGTACTTCTCCGAAGCTTTCCCTTATTCAAGAATGTTTAAGAATGCTGATGATTATTTTTGGAATTAATAAGTTCTTTGCTGATTAGGAATTTATTGCCAAGGCAGTAACACTGCCTGGTGAGGGAGAGATAATGGACATGATGACGGTTGCAGATCCCGATGCTGTTCACGCCGTTAGAACGTTTGTCAGAAAGCAGCTTGCATCTGAACTAAAAACTGAGCTTCTAAAGGCAGTAAGTCATCTTCTGCATACATATCGACTGCTTCAGGTGGTTAAAGCTCGAGTGCTGGGCACTCAGGATTCCAGAACTCATTCCCTGAAATTTTCTCACTGTTTTTTGATAGGTCGAGAACAACAGAAGCACAGAAGCATATGTTTTTGACCATGCTAACATGGCGAGGCGTGCTTTGAAGAACATAGCTCTAGGTTCATATTCCGTGCAGATTTGTTTGAGCGAATGCTCGTTCTTTTAATCGATCAGATGGTAACTTTTTGCTGTGTTGGAACTCTATAGCTTATCTTGCATCACTTGGAGATCCATCATTTACCGAGCTTGCCCTGAACGAGTACAAGGCCGCAACCAACATGACTGATCAGTTTGCTGCTTTGGCAGCCATAGCACAGAACCCTGGTGAAACCCGTGATGAGGTTCTTGCCGACTTCTATAACAAGTGGCAACACGATTTCTTGGTATGCACCTACCGCTCTTATCTTCCTTCCTTTCAAACTGTTCTCTGTTTCTGGGTTATTGTCATGAATTCTACTCGGTTTGACCATATGACTCATGGGATTTGGTCAGGTTGTTAATAAATGGTTCCGACTTCAAGCTACATCTGACATTCCTGGCAACGTCGAGAGCGTCAAGAAACTTCTGAATCATCCAGCATTTGATCTACGAAACCCGAACAAGGTGAGTGAACTTAAAACTGTCAGCCACGGATTTGAAGCTTTCTTGGCTTAACCATGTCGGAAATTTCTTCTGGGAAACAGGTTTTCTCTCTTATCGAAGGATTCCACAGATCCCCAGTGAATTTCCATGCCAGAGATGGATCTGGTTACAAGTTCTTGGGCGATATGGTTGTCCGGTTAGACAAAATAAATCCTCAGGTAAACTATCATCAAACTAGTCTCTGTCTTTACAGTTAAACTTTTGCAGTTAATAATTACCCTTTTCTCTCAACTCCATAGTTACCCTCTTTCGTCAAAATTTCAGGTGGCCTCTCGAATTGTGTCGGCCTTTTTGCGGTGGAAGCGCTATGACGAAACCCGACAAGCCCTTTCCAAGGTTAAAAAAAAAAAACAGTAATTTGTAGATTTTGCTCTGTTCGTAAATACATAGGTGCAGGTCATCTTCCGAACCATAAATATCTTTTGTTTTGGCTGTGTGTAATAATGGTGTTATGTTGTTGCAGGCACAACTGGAAATGATATTGTCATCCAATGGACTGTCTGAGAATGTCTTCGAGATTGCCTCCAAGAGCTTGGCTGCTTAGTTTATTACACTGAAGTAAAAACCTCTAAAAGTTTTTTACTTTTTACTGTCACTGTCATAATCTGCAGTTTCTTGGAGAGTTTTTCTATTTATTTACGTATACCAAGGTCTCTCACTCTACTTGTGACACAGACGTCATACTTCTAATGATATTTTATTATTTTATTTTCAATACAAAAATGAGAAAAATATTTAAAAAATCCTGAACTTATATTTAAAAGAGAAAAATATTTAAAAAAGAGAAAGGATTTAAGATTTTGGAATTATGGTTAAGAAATTAAGATATAGAGTTTAGACAGCTTACATTTACAAACTATTTAGTATTTCTGATTAAAAGTAAATTAGGAATAACAAAATGAAAGAAATAGATTTTTTTTATTAAAAAATCTATTAGTTCCATTCATCTCAAATCCAAGAGATCTTAAAATATCACATCCAAAAGTACAATGAATCTTGCGAATTGATACCTGTTAGATCCAATTATAACGGATCATTACACAATGTAGAAATCATATTTTAATACATTTAAACGATATTAAATCACATTTTAATGCATTTAAACCATATTAAAAGTACTAATGCATTAGTTAGTTAATTATTGTAACTACCATATACGTTAGTGTATTAGTTAACAGAATTCGAAATTTTTTAATAAAAATGATGATTATGTATGTAATTATTGTTAATTTTAACATGTAGATATTTGAGAAATTTTGAATTCAAATGTAGTTTTTTTGTCAAATTAAAAATATGTGTATGGAAAGATCGTATTTTACTAAATTCGTCTAGTAAAATGTTATTTTCCCTAATAAATATGATAACAATAATAAAATAATAATTTAATAGCAATGATAATAACATAATAAGTGATTTAAACATCGAGTATGCTCATAACACGCGTGCTTCCCTTTCTCTATTTTTCCCTTTTCCACCTCTACGTAATAACTCAGCATATTATATTATATGTTATATAATTACAATATTTTTTTTGGATAATCGGACACAAAGCTAATGTCGGGATCGAAAATATATAGTTACAATATTTTGTTTCATTGTAAAATATTGTTGAATTTCTTGAAACCAAAAGAATTTCCCCACTTATGAAAATTTAATTATGCAGACATTTTTTTTGCCAAATACAAAATACGTTATTTATTTTATTGTATTAAAATCCAATTTCAAAAAAAAAAAAGGAGACCTTCAAAATGATTTGTTGTACTCTAAAAGATTAGATATCTTTACACGTGATTAAAATAATGTGGTGCAAACGAAGTCTTTTGTCAATTCATGTCTTGTAATTTTACACATATATAATTACGTATTGTTTATACACACACATACATATATATATACACACTTTACACCTAATAGCTTTTATAAAGGACATTGTAATTGTATTTGTTGAGACACCAACTAATCGTGCTAATAATTTTTTTGAGGAAAAATCCCAAAAAAAATTATTGAACTTTTCAATTTTGACAAAAAAAAAATCGAACTTTATTTTTTTTCAAATAAACATTAAACTTTTTAAACGAATTTAAAAAAACACTGAACGTTTTAAATGATCCAAAATTACATGAATTTTTCTGTGATTATCAAAAAAATACTGAACTTTTTTAGTGATCCAAAAAAATATATGAATTTTTTTCGATTGTCAAAAAAAACTTGAGTAAAATAATCTGACATGTCTGCATCTCACTGTGTCACGTCATTCATTTTGTTTATTTTGACAATCGTAGAAGAGTTAAATGTTTATTTTATCAAATTTAAAAAGTTTAATGTTTATTTGATAAAATAAAAAGTTCAATTTTTTTTTTGGTCAAAATTTGAAAGTTTATTGTTTTTTTTTTTGGATTTTTCCTTTTTTTATTATATATAATGAGATCAAATTGAAAATTTAATTTTAATAACGATATAAATCTTGAATCCTAACTTTTAAATTCCAAATTTTAAATTATAACCTAAAATATTAACGTTTATAAACTCTAAACCAATTCTAAACTCTAAGATTTAGATTTTATTATTTATATTTTCGAGTTTAAGATTGATTTAAGATTTAAAATTTTGTAATTAGGGTTAAAAAATTAGGATACAGTGTTTAGATAGCTTACCATTACAACTATTTAGTATTTCTGATTAAAGGTAAATTAGGAATAATAAAATATGAGAAATATTAAAAAAATTTATTAGTACCTTCTGAGATCCAAGAGATCTTCAAATATGAGATCCAAATTTTCAAAGAATCTTGCGAACTGATATCTGTTAAATCCAATTATAACGGATCATTACACTATATATAAATCACATTTTAATACATTTTAACCACATTAAAAATGCTAAAATAGTAGCACGATCCATCAAATTCACCCATTATAATGTGTAATAATAGATTTATGATCCGAATTTGTAGATAATAACCTAAATAGAAAACCAGATAATCTCAAAGACATATCCACGACGTATTGTAACTCAATTATTTGTGAAAAAAAATTCTTAAAAAATGATTATCATCAGAATATTTTATTAGATACGTGAGTCTGAATATTTGAATTTTTCCTTTTCAAATTTAAATAATAATTTAATTACTTATTTGCTTGAATCGAAAATTTTTAAAATTTTGTGGATGCCCAATTTTTGTTTAACAAACCCATAATGTATTCGAAAATTATTCTCGACGTTTGTCTTTATCATGCATCTCTACACGATTTTCGATCACATACTTGAAATTTTTCTAAAATAAAAATAAACGAATTAAAATCCGAAAAGACTGGCCCTAATGAGTTACGCTACTAATTTAATTGGCTCTTTGATATAACGTTTTTAACTGAATTTGGTTTTAATTCGTGAACCTATTCATAATTTTAAAAAAGAAAGAAGCTAACCGGAACGACCCGAGCTCAAAAATCTGGATTGATCTGGTTGGAAATCTGATTCACATTGCCAAATTCCATTTTTCCCTTAGCTTCTTGTTTTGCCTCTCCAATCTCCACCAGCATTGTCAGAAGAGCCTCACACATTTCTGGTGCATCAACTTCGTCCACATCGATTTTCGACCAAGAGTAAACCATGAAGGAGTGATCGAGCTTCTTGCTCAGAGTCACCACGACAGATCCCGGGACCTGCACGTCCCGACAGATCACCAGTCCGTCGCTCTTCTCTCCATATCTTAGCTGAAAATGCAGAGCTAAAACCACCATGGCTGTTGACACGAGGATTATGATTGGAAGCCTTCTCCCTCTTTGCATGACGTAGTCGGATTCTTCCCTTCCGAGTGTCGGGAGAGGCAGCCACGGGATTTCAGTGTGAGCGATATGTGTCATTGTGGCTAGAATGTCCGGAGCTGTTTTGGCTTCTGAGTGGAACGATATGAGAGGGATCATGTCCGGGAGCCGAATCCATGGATACATTCAGGATGACAATGACAGAGAACAAAACTTCTAAGTTCTGATAATTGGATGACGATTGATTACTTAACGTACGCGGAATGGGTAGATAAACGAAATATGGACTTCAAGTTGTAAAGTGAACATAGCAGAATATGGACCTCAAATTTGAAGCTGATTTCGCAGTATAATCCTCACCAATTGATGGGTCGAACATAGTAAGGGAAGTGATTACTCGTACCCTTCAAAAAACAACGGCGACGACCTGATTACCACATTTGTTATTAACATTTTTGAATTCCGTATTTACAGTAGAGCCTACACTTGCAGACGATGAAGGGTATGGTCCCGTATATATCGGATGCCCCATAAAAGAGAGGAATTCCTCTTTGCAACGACGAATATCATTACACAAAGATCCTCTGTATCAACAATGTCGATGAATAACGTCTCTGTGTTTCAGAGAACAGAATCTCATAAGACGACTGAAGAATTTAATGAGGGAACCCACCGGTGAAATGAACGACTCGATGAATTACGTAAGTCGTCAGGGCCAAGAGATGGCTAAAAATGTCATCCATCAACGAGAGGAATCCGAAAAGATCGTGACCGGGGCTCGAGCCAGATAAAGCACCAGAATCGCATGACCTATAGATGAGATGCTCTAATCTCATAAAGAAAGACAAAGATTGAGGTTTCAGACCTTGAATCTTTTCAGAACATCTTGTAAGCTATTAGTTTAACTCATCCAACAAGATTTAATGTAAGAAACATGATATCTCAGTTCATATATTTTTTCTAATTCTCCAAACTTGTTGTTAGATTAATCCATCCGACGAGATTTAGCCTAAGAAACAAGATATTTTCAACCACATTAGATCTCCAATTCTTTAACCACGCTGTTAGTTAAACTCGTCCGACAAGATTCGACCTAAGAACAATATACGACATTAACTCATCCAACAAGATTTAGCCAAAGAACAATAGATAACCTCATCCGACAAAGCCTTAGGATAAGAATCAGACAGATTCATTCCGCCGTTACTCTTCAGTTCTCCAACTCTTTTTTGTATGCGCATCCTTTTCAGCACAATAGTAAGTTGTACTTACAATTGAAGGTGCTTGGATGCTTAAATCTGCCATTGATTACTATCCAAAGGCTGAAACTTTATTAATACGAATAGTCGGGTTCATCAGAAAACCCCGAAAGATTGAAACTTTATGAAAGTAAATAATCAAATTCATCAGAAAAAAAACCCAAGAAGAACACAGTCTTTGGGAACTGGACATCAAAGAACACCGAAATCTTATGTAAACCCAATGCATTAATCTACAATCTTTGGGGTTGGTGTTACTGAAAATCATCTCCTAGAACAGTGAACATCTCGAATTTGACATTTTTTCAATTGAAAAATCCAGCGAAGATAACTAAAGCCAGAACGAGGAAACACTAGAACAATAACAATGGAAAAAGACCAATTGTGGACTTACATAAATGAGTTCCCAAATTCTTGGGTGATGATCGCAAATTTATAGAAACCCAGAAATTGTTAGGATCTTGGAGTCGGAGTTCGAATTGAAATTCTATAACTTATACACCGAAAAAAATGAAGAAATTTTACGCATTTGGGGAACAAAGCGTCAATTTCAATTCTTTTTTCCAGACAAGCTTGTTTTTTGAAGACAAAAAGTGACACTAAAGAAACTGGTGTTTCTGCTGCTGTAGAATCTGAAAGCAACAAAAAGGAACAAAACATTAAGAGAAAGAGATCTGGAGGAAAGAGAAAAAAAGAAAAAGAAATTTGAAGATAGGATTATTTGAGAAACTCAGAACTCTAATTTTTTAATTTTTAATTTCAAAAATTTGAACTTTAATTCTTTTTCTTTGACGCTTTTAACTTTATATCATTGTTTATAGACACAAGTACAGGAAAATCAAAATAAAAAAGTTTTTGTTTTATTAAAATATATTTTCCTTATTCTTTTCATAATACTTTAACATTTTTTATTTTTCAAAAGTATAGTATATATATTGATTTTTTTCTTATTATATAAAATGTTATGTGGTGACACATCATTTTTCTCTTAGTAAACATAAAATTTGCAAATTTATAATAGTTATTTTTCATGCAATGTTTTTTTTTCTCTATAACAAAGATAAAGATGTTTGGAGCATTGGGAAAAGTAGACACCGAATGGGGGCAATTGCAAAAAAATCTTTAAATGATACATTTGACTTCAGGTCATACCCCCATTTTGGAATTATGGTTAAGAAATTAAGATATAGAGTTTAGACAGCTTACATTTACAAACTATTTAGTATTTCTGATTAAAAGTAAATTAGGAATAACAAAATGAAAGAAATAGATTTTTTTTATTAAAAAATCTATTAGTTCCATTCATCTCAAATCCAAGAGATCTTAAAATATCACATCCAAAAGTACAATGAATCTTGCGAATTGATACCTGTTAGATCCAATTATAACGGATCATTACACAATGTAGAAATCATATTTTAATACATTTAAACGATATTAAATCACATTTTAATGCATTTAAACCATATTAAAAGTACTAATGCATTAGTTAGTTAATTATTGTAACTACCATATACGTTAGTGTATTAGTTAACAGAATTCGAAATTTTTTAATAAAAATGATGATTATGTATGTAATTATTGTTAATTTTAACATGTAGATATTTGAGAAATTTTGAATTCAAATGTAGTTTTTTTGTCAAATTAAAAATATGTGTATGGAAAGATCGTATTTTACTAAATTCGTCTAGTAAAATGTCCCCCCCCCCCGTTCATGAAAAAAACGACAACATCATATATCCTTATAAATGTAGATTCCCTATAATATCATTCATTTATTTATATAATATTATAATATATTAAAATAAATAAATGTAGATCTATTTTTATCCCACTTTTTCTCTCCTCTCTATCGTTGTTTCTCACCTACATCGCTTCTCTCTTCGAGTTTTTCTCTTTCTCTCACTTCGAATTTCTCTTCTCCGGCGTACTTCAACATTTAACTCACATTCACTTTTCACACGTGCCTTTATTATCTCCACGTAAAGCATACATCGCATTCCATTTATTTTATCCAGTATGCTTGTCATTTCATAAGTGAGCTTTCTGTTTTTTTTTTCCACATTTGGCAAATAACTCAACTCCATCTCTAATTTATCTTTCTTCACCTTCATCTCAAAACATAACTCTCTAACAAGTTCATTGAAGGTCACCTCACAGGGAGAACAAAAGAATAACAATATTTGGTTTTCCATAACCCTTCCTTCTCATTCAAATTCTCCATTTTTATTCACTACTCATCTACCATCATATTGAAAATATATAATTGTTGATCTCTTCTCTCATCTGTCCATCATAATTACGGAAAACACAATTACAAAACGAAAGTCAAAGATCAGTTTGTCGATTCTGAATAAACAATGTGACCATGTAACAATGTGATCCAATGTGACCATATTTCAACGTGACCATTATCACCCATCCGACCATTCTCAACAATGTGATCGTGTGATGATTTCACCGCTTGACCCTGTGACATGTATTACCATTATTAACAAACTAAACATTATGAGCCATTTGACCATTTGACCATTTAATCATGTGACCATGTGTACACGGATTGATAAAATTAAAAGTAATTACATACATAATCATCATTTTTATTAAACTTTTTCGGACTCTGTTAACTAATACACTAACGTGTATGTTAGTTATACTAATTACCTAACTAATGCGTTAGTTAACAGAATCCGAAGTTTTTTAATAAAATGATGATTATGTATGTAAATACTGTCAATTTTCATAATTTGTGTAGACATTTGGAAAATTTTGAATTTAAGTGTAATTTTTTGTTAAATTAAAAATATGTGTATGACAAGGTCTTATTTGGCTAAATTCGCGTAGGAAAATATCATTTTTCCTTAAATCTAAAATAATAATATAAGGGTATTTTGGTCATCAAACATTTACGAGGGTATAATAGAAATAAGAATTTTTTTTTAGTTGATGGTAGAGATAGAAATTGATATAGCATATTAAGGGTAAATCAGATAAAACCCCCCTTTAATGGTCAAAGCAGACAAAGTGTTATCACAATGATTACAAGTGGTAGATTCAACGTTTATCCTAATCATATGATCCCAAATAGAAGATGACGCTTCTACTTTTCGTTTTTTTACCACGTACCTTTTGACCATCAATTTTTTGTTTAAGATATCCATCAACAGACTCTGTCACTTGCTATTCTTGATGAGTGTTGATGTTATCCATGACTTAAGCATCTACAAACTAAACAAAATCCGAAAATAGCTTGAGTTATGATTACTAAAAACGAACACGATTGAAGAACAAAATTGAAAGAACCAGAAACCATGTATGTCAAAAGAACAAAATCAAAACAAAAACAAACAAAAATGGACAAGGTGTGAGAAAATAGTTTGAGCAAACACCAAAATCTACAAAAAAAAACTAAAAGAATGAGAGACCATATCGAGCACAAAGAGTAAAAAAAGACCATGTGAGAGAGAACAAACCTTTTACTGAAGCGACGACGAAAAACTAGGAGAGAAGCAAAGCAGAAACTTCAACCAAAGAAACAAAGCGAGCACTAGAGTCTCTGATGGAGGATTAGACAAGTCTCTAATGGAAAGAGATACTTAGGACACGAAAAGAAAAGAAACAAATCTCTTTTAATTGAGCTTTTGTTTACAACGTAAACATTGTTGTTAAAGAAAAAGTGAAATATACTTCTACTCTTTTACTCTTTTAGGAGATTTTACAATTTTATTGTTTTCCTTTCTATATTTTTTTAAAGTTGGACTTTCGGCCAGTTTGGGGTCCGTCGGTTTAACCCAATAAAATCTGAGTATGATTTGAGTCCGAACCAAAAGTCTAACAATTTTTTGGTCTTTAAATCTCGGCCCAAAATTCTATATTTTTCGTATGGATTTGGATCGGGTTTCGGGGCTCGGGCCATAATTGCCTAAGTCTAACCACTCCTCACCGGGCAAACCATTAAAACGACAGCGTATCCAATTCGAGCACGTTTCAAAATTCGAGTAACTAATGCTTGCCACCGTGCGTCGTACTATCGAAGTCAAACAAAAAACAAAAACTTACATGCCACGTGTCGAAAATAGAGAGGGCTTCCGTTGAGGATAATGGTGTACAATCTGGTACAGAGCAAAACGCCGAGAGGAAGAGACGAGAAGCAAGGAGAGGAGAATAGAGGAAACGACAGGTTGAGAAATCTCGAGAAACAGCTATGGTGGAGTTCGAAGCGGGAACCGAGGAAGTGAAGCCACGCATCGCTGTGGACGGATCTGGTGTTGCCGAAAGAGAAAGCAGCGAGGAGCTTCCCCGGGGTCAGATCAGCCGGAGCGACGACATGCGGGGCGAAGGTACCGGATCTGTTCCTGCCGGAGGTGGATTCTCCGATGAGAAACCGATTCGCGAAGCTAGGTATGCTGTCTCGTGATTAATGCCATTTCTATCCTTTGATTCGCCTGATTTTTGTTTGAATTTTTCTTGTAACTGCCGAATTCTGGAAGTCGTATCGTATCCAATTGGAGACGAATGTTTCTAGGAAAGTAGCGATGCGTATGTATTCCGCACCGAGCAGTAGAGATTTAAGGTTTGTTGATGTTTAGGCACATCCTTTTCTGGGCAACAATCTACTGTTCACGAGAACAATTCTTCTCGTTTTGATATTTTGTTAATAGATTAGTGACAAATCCTCCCAAATCAAAACATCAGACGGTACATCCATGTTTCTTTGCTAGTAAGAGCATAACCTTTTGTAGTTGACACCAAATCCAAACTTGGAACTTAATCTGAGATTGCTAATTAATTGAATTTTTCTTAAAGATGTTGACATGAGACAAGATAGATTTTGGTTGCATTTGATACTTCATATGTTATCAGATGGAAATCTGTATTGATTTCGTGCACGAACCACGGAAATTAGGAGCTTAGAAGTATTTCTAAAATTGCAATTCACATGCTTCTTGTATTCTCTTACAATTAGCGTGGCGAGAAGAGTTTATTTCCAGATATTTAGTTTTTTTACATTAATATTGCATCCATAGTTCTCATTACCATACTACAGATATCCTTTCATTGTCACGATTTTAATGGGATCTTTAATCTACCGCTTTCTGCCATGGAAGGAGCATGGAGGTTCGATCATCTGGGTCCAGTTCCTTAATGGTTCTTCCAACTCAACTTACTATTTTCTATGGTGGGAGTGTAAGCGTATTCGACGGACTTCCCACTGAAAAGGTTTGGTCTTTTCGAAATTTTTGCACATTATGTTTTCTTCGGGGCAGGCTGAGATATTATAGGTTCTTGTTGTGGTACATCACATGCATATAGGTTCATGAAATCCTGTGTATTGCTACTGATGCTGCTAAAGCCACTGAGATGAAGAATTATATCAGCATCAGTCCTATGCCATCGCCAGCCTTGATGAGAACTGCTTCTTTCTCAAGCACCTCAACTGTTGCTTCACCAGGGGCCATTCATCCAAATACTTTTTGCAGATTTGCGGCAGGTAAGTACCAATTTCACTGGGACTCTATATGGTCGAACGTGGATACGCTCTCCTATATGTGGAATTGTGCTGATCTGGCTTCATGAATTCTCCTCAAAACTGATTCAGATTTGCCAATTGCGAGGAGATATTCGCTCCAAAGATTCCTTGAGAAAAGACGGGACAGGTTTCTTGCACTCTCTCTAGATTTCATCCAACTCCATTTCCCAATTTGATTCCTAGCCAGGACTTCTGAAGACAGTTTTGAAAAGTCTGTCCTATGGCTATCAGATTTACATCTAACAGCAACCAGCACTTTCTTTATTTGCAGATTGGTGAATAAGAGCCCTTATTCTACTCCAGACAGCAAAAAGGCCGGTCTCGCCCCAGACAACACAGGTGCGGAGAAAAATCGAAATGATTGGTAATGAAAAACAGTATTATATACAAGTGATGTTTGTATGATATGATCCGAGTTCGAGATAATACAGGCCCTGTAGCCCTTGTGTAAGACTTTGGGCAAATGGGTTTGACACAATCTTCAGATTGTTTCCATGCCTAATAACCCAGACATGTTTGCTACTTACATCTCTGGAGAAAGTCTGGAGATTAATTACCGAAGAAACTATTGCGATTTTTTCGCTGTGTTCTTGATGACCCATCAAGTTAGACACGAACTATTCATTATCTTGTTCAAAACCTTGTTGGAATTTGCATTGTGCAAATGTAAACTTGTCCGTCTTTTATTTTTCATGTCCCTTGTTTATAAGACTCCTCCTGGCTTTCTGATGCAACTTTAGATGTCTCACAAACAACTTTGTGTGTGTGTTTTTGTTTCGACCCATCAAATTCTGTGTTTGTGTAAAGTTTACAATTGTTATTTTGAATGTTATAGTATTCAGAATATATCAATTTTTGCTTTTTACCAAATAATCGTACGGCCAAGATTGATTGTTCAATGCTTAATATGAGTATTTGATCAGATGAAAGGAGGGATTGGTATCGGATAAATAATGTTCAGCTCTAATGTTTCGAGTATTTCAGTTCTTAATGGAACGGAACCAAACAGATATGGACCGGCTTCTTTTGTTTCTTCCTGATCAAGAAAACTCCCAACCGCTACAAAACCATGAAAGACGGAATCGTTGTTGAGAAATCCCGAGTTCGATCGAAACCCTAGAAAGTTCGTGATGGGAAGCTCGAAGCAAGAACTGAATGACTCACGGAAACAGCTGGACAAGAAGCCGAGACTCGCGGAGGCCGTACGGTCTGCCGACACGAGCTTATGTACGTTTAGATTATTATTTAACTCTTACTTTTACAGTTTCCACTTCTTCCGTAACAACATTTCGACTGTTGTCTTTACATCTCCTCATTTGTTCGACCGTAAACTACGATTCTCTATTCCTTTAAACTTCTGACTTGATCGCAATCGCAATAACTAGGAAACGCTCTCCTTGCAATCCAACTGTTGCGATTCCACCGTTTATTACTGCAATTACGGCTAATACATATTTTTTAACAATCATAGGATGATGTTGGAACTGATATAATTAAGATTTTTTTTTCTTAGATTAAATTATATAAACGCATCAAAGCTTCCTATTCTCTCTTTTTTAGAAATTGGTTATGAATCCGTCCGACTCGAAACCTAAACCAGATCGAACCAAAATAATAAGACACTTTTTACAAGTTCAGGAATTATTTGTCACATTCGCAAGTTTAGGAATTTTTTTTGTCGCACTTTGCAAATTCAGAAATTTTTAGGGGTTTTTCCTTTCATATATTTTTAGAATCCAATATACTGTTTTCGAAACGAACCAATAAATATCGAACCGAAATCCGAATTATCCACGTTTATTTACGAATTTATATTTATGTATTAAGTTTCGATTCTAGTTTGGTGTTCATATAACAATACCGTTACGAACCGAATTTATGCATCGATTAATATTCGGTTCTAGTTTGTTAAATATTTATAAAACCGAATGAAGCGTCCACACCTGCCTTTTTTCAGTCCATATTTTCTGTGTTTTTCGTATAAAGAGACGAATGAATACTAAAAATACAGAGATGTCTTGATACAAAAATGTTAGATGTATTATTTGTTCCTCCCTATGTTTACTGCGTGGATAAGAAGAATAACGTACGTTTTATTACTTAATTTTTTGTACTTTAAAGTTTTAAATGAAGATTTTAGAATATAGGATTTAATTTTAACAGGTGTTAACGTTTAAGAATTTTTGGATTTGTTCGATGTTCCATTCGAAATTGAATTATTTTGGGCCGGTCCAGATGAGAGTGAATTAAAACTAAATTTAATTAAAATGGGAGGTTTTCAGTATTTTTGTTACATTTTAAATTCGGTTAAATTTCATTTAATTTTGATTTATTTGGATCGGAGTGGGTTGGCCATTAAAATTAGTTTAATTTCCATCTCTATATTATTAGGAGAAAGATAATTTCGCAATAAATTTGCTTAATTATTATTATATTTCAATCTCGCCGTTTTTAGGAGAGGACATAAAACTTTATAATCCAATTCTCAAGAAAAACATTTTCCACTCAGTATTTTATTTTTCAACGTCCTGCTCAAAGAACGCCTCCAATGGCGTCCCGAGAATGTCTTTCATTTCATTTCAATTTCACAAAAACTTCTCGCTCGATTAATCAATAGTGCTTCGTGGGCTTCGTCGTCAGCCCAAACCCGAACGGGAACAACGGGTCGTAATGCGAGTCTCCGACATTCATCGGGAGCTGATCCACCGTCTTGAACCATGTCCGAGCAAGTTTGCCGGTGAAACCATAATCTCCGAACAGAACATCAGCCACTCCTTGCCCTTCAGTTCCCGGCAACCACGCCGCCACGAGCGCATCCATGTTCGAAATGTAGGGCTGCATCACCACCGGACGTCCCGACACGACCACGACCACGCACTTCACTGATCCACAGACATTGGTGATCGTGCTCGGGCCAGGTTCCATCATGGTCAGATTCGTGCTGTCTCCAAACATTTCCGCGTATGCTGGCTCGCCCACCACGACGATCGCGTAATCGAACTTGTTGGACTTGAGATAGTTCGTGTCCGGATTCTGGTTGTAAACGACTTGTGTTGTCGGAGCCACAGTGTTCTTCACAGCAGTGAAGATGGTAGTACCTGTATACATATATATGATCAAAAGATTCAAACTTTTCGTCTCTGAGATTCAGAAAAATGTATATTGGGGTTGGTGGAAGTTGAATTATGACTCAATTCAGATTCCAGATTGATCTTGTTCTTGCAGATTAATACTGTTTTCACGTACCGACAGTGAGATCGTTGCCATTGAGGCCTTGCCAAGTGATTGTCCAGCCACCACACTGATATCCTAAGTTGTCAGCGTGGGTTCCGGCCACAAGGATCTTCCCGGCTTTCTTTGACAGAGGAAGCAATGGCTTATCGGCTTTCTCCCCGTTCTTAAGGAGCACCAGAGATTTCCTCACGGCTTCCCGAGCCAGTTCTCTGTGTTCCTGCCATTGTTTCAAGCTTTGTTATGTTTAGGGTAAAACCCACATAGAAAGAACATTTAGAATTCAGGATAACCTCGAGATTTTACCGACCTTGCTACCGAGATGGTTGGCCAGGCTAAGATCCGCCAAAGGATTCTCAAACAGTCCCATGGTGAATTTAACCCTCAAGATTCTCTTCACTGCATCATCTATCCTGCTCATCGGGATGAAATTTCTCTTGACCTGACTGGTTATTTCGTCGATGAATTCAGTGTAGTTATACGGCACCATGATCTGCATCACAAGTTCAAACCCAGCATACATGAGTAAGAAATCTCAAAGCCTGGAACAAGAGTGTAAGATCATCAATTCAGAATCATCTCAAGATAGACTGACCATGTCAATTCCAGCGTTGACACCAGCGTAAACAGAGTATGAATAGTTAGCATGAGGAGGAGTGGTGATTCTGTCTAAGCCCTGCCAATCCGAGATCACAAAGCCCTAAAAAGGAAACCACCCGAAAAACGCCAGACTGGAATGTTTATATAAGCTTCATCAATTGAAAATCTCGAAAACTTAAAAAGAGAAACCGGGTATTCATATCGTTACCCTGAACTTCAACTTGTTCTTGAGGAAACCCGTGACAAGATTCTGATTAGCATGCATTCTGAGACCGTTCCAGGCCGAGTAGGACACCATAACAGTGGCTACACCCTTCTGTATGGCACTGTAATAGCCCGGCATGTGAATCCCGAACAGTCCCTTTGCATCAATCACTGTGTTGTTCTCGTCGATCCCTCTTGTTGTTCCTCCATCCCCGACAAAGTGCTTAGCGCAAGCTGCAACCCTTGTCCTGTAACAATGATGAAACCCATTACGGTTACTTGACAAGCAAATGTTATGGAAGATGCTTTCCGTTCATGAAAATCTAATCAAAATGATTATTTCAAATAATTTCAGACGGTTTAAACTGCGAATGATTTCGAACCGGAATAGCTATCCTATTTCGCTCAGACCCTCTACTATAAAGTCTGGGGACACTACTCTGTTTATCCTCACATGGTGTATATACCTTTCATCCTTATAAATACATGGGACCTTGTTTAGATCATGTAGATAACTTCCTACTGGTCCTACAATGGCAGAAGACTTAATTCAAGAAACCTCCTTCTTTATGGAGACATTATTGGTACCCTATGATATGATCTTAAAACAAGCTCATGAATAAATGAAGAGACCAATCAGCAAACACTACATGCAGTGCTCAGTTCCCCATCAATTAACAAAGGAAGACTGTTTCCTATTTATGCTTTAGGACCACCATTAAATCTTCTAAAGATCACCATTGGAACCAAAGCTTGGAAGCACGCGTGAGAAGTGTAAGTGTGAAACACATCTAAATGATCATTGACATTACCTAACCCGTAACAAAAGAAAACAACAACCAATGTACCAAACCAAAGATGAATCCTAAGGGAACAAAGAAGATCATTCATCAAACTCTTTTTGGAGTCAAAATTGGTTTTTCGATTGAATATTGTTCAGGTTTAGTATGTCAGAATCATCAAGCTATTTTCACTTGAATGGTTGATTCATGAAAACATATCGTAGAATGTCTTCTTTATCAGGAAAATATACTTACTTTCCGGCGACAAAGGGAACACCCTTCAGTTTGCCAGGAAGGTCGCCTTGCAAACCGGGGATGATTTCGGTCATTTGTTGCACAATTCTGTGATCCTCACTGTAACTCTCATAGCATCTGCCCCATCTTGGATCCCTACAGACCTGTGGAAACCCCGTTTCAGAAACCAGAAAAAAAAATTTTTGTTAAGATTTTCAATGATCACAACTCGGAAGATTCAGTTTCCGCACCGCAATACATGGAGCAAAGGCATAAGGGATTCCTGTTGCTCTAACTTCAAGGGCAGTTGCTTCTCCAATCCGCTTGAGAAGCATAGGGTCCCTACCAGAGAGTCAGCCATAATAGAGATTGGTAAGTAACAAAGTTTTCTTTTTCATAACTCCAGCAGAAAACACAGACCAACCAGGACAATAAGTCACCAGTTGAAACAGATACAACTGTTCTAGTTTCTATAGGCCAAGACACTTGCCTGGTGACTCCAAGTCCTACATTGTGCGGGAAAATGGTGGCGTTGTATACATTGTTGTGACCATGAACAGCATCGATCCCATAAATCATTGGGATCCTTAAGGGGGTTGATAAAGCACCCTTTTGAAGTTCATTCACCATGTCCACCCAAGTTTTAGCACTTGCCTTTGGACTCGGCACACTCCCTCCACCACTCAACACACTCCCTACAAACAAATTCTCAAACATGTTAAGTATTCATATAGATTCAAGACATGTTTAATATGGAAAGAAAAAGCTTATTTGATGATCTTGTCTTACCGATGAAGTACTTCTTCATCACTTCGGGCGTAGCAACACTGCGCTCAATCTGAACCATCTGTCCGATCTTCTCCTCGAAGGTCATACGTTTCATCAGATCTCTGATCCTTGCTCCCAAAGGCTGTTGTGGGTCTTTGTACTTTGCATACTTCAGTGGATCCTCAGCTGCCACGGCACAGCAAAGCAGTAGAAGCCCTAATGCCTTCAACAAGTAACTCAGAGTTTCCATCTTCTTCTTCTTCCCCGTTAGGGCTCAGAACCTACAGATAATCACCAGGGTTTGAAACACTTGTTCAGCACAAGATAAAAGAATGGTTTTCAATAAACATGACAAAAGCATCATACCAAGATGCAAAATGGAACCTAAAATATAGCTGAAAACAGTAAAAGAGAAATACAGAATAAATGTCATGGGTTTGAAACCGTTGACAGGGAGATCCAATCAGCGCATGAGATCCAGCACAATAACGTTGCAAATTTTTTGAGATAATGGGCAGGATAATGACTGCAAGAACATGGGGAAAAGTTCGTACAGAAGAAAATCTGATCCAAAGTCCTTGACATGGACAGAGTTTCTGAGTTCAGTGTTTAGTGCAAATCCATCTTTCAGTTTTTACAAAGAAACCGACAGGAGAAAAAGAGCACAAGACATAATATTTGGTATGTCATGATCAGAACAGAGGCATATAAGAGTTAAGACAGGAATTGAGCCAGTGTAAATGGAGAACATGCATAGATTTGGTCAAGTTAATGTCTTTACAAGAAAATCTAATACACTGTCATTAAAAAAAAATGTTCTGGGAACGTCCGTAGAAGAGAAAACAAGTCGAACCCACCATTGGTTCAACTGGGTCTCTGAAACCGATACACTTCATCGATTTGAAATTATGTCAGAGACTCAGAATCAATGGATGATAGAATAAAGTTCCGCTCTTTCAGAAATCCATTTCGCAGAGGAGGAAAGGGAGAATAACAAACTTTACCCAGATGCCATTTGAAAGGAAAAACTGGAGAAATGAAATCGAGATTAACAATGAAGACGAAGAAGAAGAAGAGAAAACTGTACCCAGAAACTAGATCGTGATGATAATGTTAAAAACGAGAAGAGAAGAACATTATACCAGCTGCCGAAACTCATATGAAGAAAAACCAGATTACGATTGGAGAAGAAGAAGGACGAGGAATCTTACAGATTACAATGTTCGAATGGAGACAGAGCAGGAAGAGGGGAGTTTGATGCTTTCCTTAATGGTGTTTGAGACTTGCTATTATTTAATGTTAGATTCCTGGATATTGGTAGGTCTCTTCCCTCGAGGAAGATGAGGACTGAGCTTCTTCTCCAGTAATGTGTTATTAAATAATAATAATAATAATAAAAGACGATTAAAAAATGAGAATATATTTGTATTTAAATGATTCTTTGTGTATTATAAATTATTCATATAATGTTATATTTGTATGCTGGCAAATGAAATAAGAATATAAGATGAATTAAATGGTGAGTATAGAACATAAACATTATGGGTTAGATTAGTGGAAGTAATGGAATAATGAAGAGATAAACATTTATCATATTATTTATTTATTAATGATTAACTCTATTTTCCTTTAACCTTTTTAGTATTCGGATAAAATTGCAAATGAATAATAAATAACAAATATATATATAATAATAGAATTTTCTTTAATCCGGCTGCGGATATAAACTTTAAATAAATCAAAGGTAGCATCACAGAAATTCAAATTCGATTTCGATACTCATAGAACTGTTAGTGATAATGCCACGTATCATTGCCGCAAAGTCAAAGTCTCCGATCAAACATAAATCATTGGCTATATCCATCCGAAAGGTCCCTAACTTTATATTAGCTATATATATATTATTATTTTTTATGGAAAAGTAAATATTTATTATTCACTATCATATTAGAGGTCTAGTGTTGTAAAAATTCACCATAGATTGAATTATAAAAATGATGAAAACATTCCAAAAAAAGTTTCAAATTGTCAAGAAAACTAATATTTAAAATATTTAAATAACACTCTTTTCAAAAACTGGAATCATAAAATGTCAAATTATGAATATGATTAATTTAGAAAATATCAATTTGTATAAATGTTAAAAAAAAAAGAAATCAATGTTGGAATATTGTGGTATGAACAGGTCTATTGGTTGGCGCAAGGAAGGTAGTCTTCTAAATATTCATAAAAGGATGTCTATAGACATAGGGCTAAACGAAACGAATAGCTTTGCTGGCGAAAAAGCAAAAGCGGAAACAGCTAGATCAACTGCGGCCTCACCGTCGGGGCATAAGCGAGGAGTTGAGCCTGAACTAGCGAACCGAGGCCGGCCTACTACGGGCACCCGCCTGTAGGGATTAGAGCAATCCCTGCCCTGCGTGTTCCATTCTAGCTACCGGGGTGGTAATTTCTCCCTATATCCCCCCGGAGTCTATCTAAGTGGGAAAGATGGTGTGAAGCGTCGGAGACAGGGAAGAAAGCGAGACGCCCCTCCTATCCTGCCACTTCAGCACCTTGTGATCTTTGAGAAGTCTGTGATCCATGGATCTCCGATCGGAAAACCGTATCCGATGCCGCCCGTTTTCATTTCGTGTACTGAAAACAAGAAAATTCTATTAGTTATTTTAGAATAGATTGTGATCCATCATTCTCATAATTTTATTCATAAATGAAAGTGTTGAACTTTCACTTTATCTAATGTACAAAATAAACTCGAATTACATAGGTGTCGAAACCATTGAAACTAGTAATCCTAATTGAGCTACCAAGTACAAAACATACACAAAGTCAATATAAGTTTTTCTGTAAACCCTTGATACTATAATGGCCATGTGTCCATATCCATTTACAAGCACACAGATGTTGAGCCACCAACATCTTGAAGCGGTTTCACTTCATGCCTGTATAAGTGAATCATTTCGGAAATCATGTCATGTAACTCGACACTTTGTCAAAGGATTCATTAAGCAAATACAACATATTTACGTTGTATACCTAGATGTTTTCTTCGGGATGATTTAATTCAAAGTATCTACAATTACATAGTAAAGGATTTAACTCATTGAACTCAAGATCTAGCGTTATACTAGACATTGAGTTGAGATTCTTTTACTTGTGATACATTAAACCGGTTCAAGTCCGATCCCTTGTGACATTTTGTGTACCACGTCTCTTGGCAAGCTTTTTGTCAAAGCATCCACCAAATTTTGTTTGTACGCACAAAATCAACCATTATGGCTCCGTCTTTTATCAGACTATACACATAGCTATGTCTTAACCCGATGTGTCTAGACTTTCCATTATAAACATGGCTATATGTCTTAGCCAACGTCGCGACACTATCACAATGTATTGCAATAGGCGATACCGGTTTAGGCCATAACGGTATTTCGAATACCAAATTCTTTAGTCATTCTGCTTCTTTCCCAGCAGCCTCTAAGGCGATAAATTACGACGCCATAGTCGAATCCGAAATGCAAGTTTGTTTCTTGGAAGCCCAAGAAATCACCGCTCCACCTAAAAGATAAAGTCATCCACTCACTGAGGTATAATCCTCTTCACTTGAGTTCTAACTCGCATCGGTATATCCTTCTAACACCGAAGGTTGACCCATGTAGCATAAACCATAATCAATTGTCTTTTTCAGGTACCGGAGTACTCTTTCCACATCATTCCAATGATGTATGCTTGAGTTACTCGTGTATCTACTCAACTTCCCAACCGCATATGATATGTCGGGTCGAGTGCTAGTCATAGCATATATCAAACATCCTATAACACTAGCATACTCGAGTTGAGCTACCGGTTCCCCACTGTTAGGTGCTAGCTTAACGCTACAATCCATCAAAGTAGATACTGGAGGACTTTCAAACATATCAAATCGTTTTAACACTTTCTCCACGTAATGCGACTAAGATAGTGTTATCAAACTTTGATCACGTTTTATCCTAATGCCTAGGATAACGCCAGCCTCTCCTAAGTCTTTCATCGAAAACTTCGATGACAAGAAATTTTTGGTCTTCTCGACTTGCTCTAATTCTGTACTGAATATGAGCATATCATCCACGTATAAGCAAATTATAGCTCAATGATCGTTATCATCAAGTCTGCTATATACACACTTGTCTGATTGATTTAGATAAAAACCGTTAGTCAAAATGATGTCATCAAACTTTTGATGTCATTGTTTGGGTGATTGTTTCAACCCATACAACGATTTGACTAGCTTGCACATTTTGTGTGTGTTTATCCCGATAGTATAAAACCTTTTGGTTGTTTCACATACACCTCCTCTTCTAGATCACCATTCAAGAATGTCATTTTGACATCCATTTGGTGGATCACAAGATTGTTTATTATTGCAAGAGCGATCAACATCTTATTGTAGCTATTCTAGTTATTGGTGCATACGTATCAAAGAAATCAATACCCTATTTTTGCCTAAAGCCTTGAGTTATTAGACGAGCCTTGAACTTATCGATAGTTCCAACGACTCTCATCTTCTTTTTGAAGATCCACTTGCAACCAATCGGTTTACAACCTAGAGGAGGATCTACTAAGATCCACGTGTTGTTGCTCATGATAGAGTTCATCTCATCATTTATCGCTTCTTTCCAGAATGCGACATCATGCGATCTCATCATTTCATCAAAAGTCATAGGGTCTCCCTCGATATTATAAACATAAGCGAGTTGAGTCATGATTGACTCATTAGTACCTTCTACTAGGTACATGTGAAAGTCCGGACCAAAGATTTTTCTTTCCTTATACGCTTACCTCTACGAGGTTCACGTTGTCCATCATCATGATTGACTACGCGATCACTTGAGCTCGATATAGCTCGAGATTGTCTTTCAACCGAAGAAAAGCTACTCTCGTCAAATAATGCATCCCTTGACTCTAGAACCGTATGAACGTGTATATAGTCGTTCTGTTCTATAACATAGAACCTATAGGCCTTGCTATGAGAAGCATAACCTGTAAAGATACATTCGATTCCTCGTTCACCCAAAATTTTCTGTTTGGGTTCCGACACTTTTACTATTGTCCGACAACCCCAAACTCGGAAATAATTCAGATTTGGTTTTCGCTTATATCATGGCTCATATGGGGTTATTTTATTCTTTTTTGAGGGAAATCGATTAAGAATATAGCAAATCGTTAACATGGCTTCTCCCAAATCCATCGCTTAATCCCGAGAAAGAAAGCATGGAATTCACAATTTTTTTCAACTCCCTATTCTTTTTTTCCGCTACACGATTTTGTTGGGGTATATACGGAGCGATCGTCTCATGAATCACGTCTACGGATTCAAAGTACGTCGGATCATAATATTCTCCTCCCTTATCGGTTCTAAGCTTCTTGAGTTTAACCCCGAGTTGTAATTCAACCTTAGACTTGTAGTCCCTAAACTTATCCAAAGCTTCGTCTTTGGAATGCAACAAGTAAACGTAGTAAAACCTAGTTGAATCCTCAATAAATATAACTATGTACTTTTATTTCTTAGAGACGGTGTACTATGGAAATCGTATAAATTACTATGCACAAGTTCTAGAATGTCCAAACTTCTTTTTACATTTGGAAATGATAACCTCGTAATTTTTGCTTTCATGCAAGTAACACAACGATGATCATTCTCCAATTCACATGGTGAAATAAGATCTAACTTAGACATTACATGCATCCGTTAAAAATGAATGTGACCTAATCTAGCAGGCCACAAATTTGAAACAATTGGAAGAGAGAAAATACAAAGAAGTACTCGGTTGATTAATATTGAGTTTGAACATCGAATTACATAGATAGCCTTGTCCAACAAAAATCTCCCCTTTGGACAATACAAACTTATCAGCCCCAAACACCATTTTGAACCCGAATCGATTCAATACGCTACTCGACACAAGATTTTTCCTAACATCCGGTGCATAAAGCACATCTCGAAGAGTTAGAGTCTTCTCGGATGTAAACAACAAATCTACTTGTCCCTTTCCCAAGACGTTAACCGTAGACTCGTTGTCCATGTAAAGCACGCTTCCACTCCTTTACGTCCTTAAACGTCTTGAATAGTTTCTGTCTTTGCATATGTGTCTCGTAGCATCCGAATCGATCCACCAAGAGTTATCACTCTCCTGCACATGATTCAATTCAGAAATCATAGCCACAAAATCCATAACTAAGAATAGAAATCGTGTTTGCCTTGGCCTTGACACTTCTTCCTATTCTTGTAAGAATAGAAATCCTGTTTAAGGTATCCGAGCTTGTTGCATAACCAATAACTCCCACTCGGCTTAGACCTTTTGTTTGAGTGGCCTTTCGGGGATTTGTTTGGCCTCTTTTGGCTCTGTTTCTTCTCTTCCTCCACCACATGAACTGTAGGGGATGAAGAAACATGTGTGTCCTTCTTATCCTGCATTCGGATTCTCTCCTCAGTCCGAAGATGTGACTCCAATTGTTCAAGGGTCATATCCTCTTTTCTATGTTTCAAGAAACACTTAACGTCCTTCCAAGACAGTGGTAGTTTGTCAACGACCGGAAGAAACCATAATGGTTTCATCCATTTTCAATTCATGTTGAATAAAACTACTCAAGATCCTTTGGAACTCAATAAATTGCTCCATAATCGATCTTAAGTCCACATCTTATAAGTGTTAAACTCACTTACAAGAAACCTCTTACTCGAGGCGTCTTCCGACATGTATTTCTCTTCCAATTTAGACCACAATTCTTTTGCAGTTTCTATATTTTGATACCCATCGAAAAGGGCATCGAGCATACCATTCAATATGTGTCCGCATAACACATAATTGTCGTTGTTCCACTTGTTTCTCGTATGCGCTTGAACGAGCGTCTCCTCTTCATTCTCTTCCGGTTGTGGAGTGCTGATCACATACGCCACTTGCAATGAAGTAAGAAGAAATTTCATCTTCTTTTGCCACCGCCGGAAAGCCATGCCCTCGAATTTCTCGAGTTTGTAGAAATCTAGAGTAAGATCTCCCACCGAAGAACCCATACCCGCTAATCGATTCCTCCTTCCCCGTGTATCCGAAATAAGGGATAACGTTTTAGACAATCTACTCTAAAATGGTGGAGGATTGTTAGTTATTTTAGAGTAGATTGGTGGATTTTAAATACTCTCACATGATTCATGTTTCACTCGTATTACAAGTATGGTGGAGAAGTTAAATGCTTGTAAAAGACGTGTCGTGAATTTGTTAAGTATTATGGATTAGTCAGAAGATATTGCAGGTAGTTCGTTTTTTCCTGATGAATAAAACTAGAAAAAAATGAGCGACCGCTTGGAAAAATAAGCGGGTAGCTCATTATCTCTGATAAAAAAAATTGGAGAAAATGAGTGACCCACCTGATTTTTTTGAAATGTTCAAAATGAATGGAAAATCGTGATCGTTCGAGAAAAACTTCCTATGTCTTTGCACCTTTTGACTTTTGGAGTGTTAAAAACATTCCTAGACATCTTAACACGAAATATATAAGATCTGATTTTTGAGAGATTTGTGAGCCATTTTGGTGAAGAAACTTGCTACTTACTCTAACTTTTCTTGTTCATTTTCATTCTCGGGTTTTTCTGTTTCGGACAATTTTTGACGAACAAATCGATCGTTGGTGATCTTCTTTGTATATCTAAACGTATTCTCGGATTTCTCATTTGTTCGGTGGGGAGGAAATAACGTTTTGGGAAAGTGGAATCATATCTAGAAGATTATATCCGGATTCATCTATTAATTTTGTTTTTCGATTACGTTGTTTTTGTATTCTTTCTCGTTGTATCCAGACCCATTTGTTCTAACAAATTAATAAAAAATACATCAGTTATAGAGGCTTGACTTTTTTTATTTTATTTTAGTTATTTTAAAATTTAGTTTTTATATTAAAGAAATATATTTACTTAATTTTTATAGTATAAATTTTTTATGTTTAAATTTGATTAAAATTGATTTTTTGTTATCTTTTAAAAAAAATGTGTTTATTAATGTTACAATTATTTTCCCATTTAATTTTAATTCAATTATTTTGTGTTATTTTATTGGAAAAATTTTAGAAATATATCAAAATTTATTTAAACGTATCAAATAAATATCCGAATTTCCAATTGTTAAATAAATACATAAATTTTATCAATTCGTACTAAATATATATTAATCGACAACAATATCAATTTGTTCAAATTAGGTATTAAAATAAAATCTGGTAGTCTGTATAACTCGGTTATTTTGGAAATCATATGCATTTCGGATGAATCGTCTCGTAAAAGCGAGAAGATAAAAAGTTACAGAAACTCGTCTCGGACCGAAGTGACAACGATTCGACCGAGGCGAGTCAAAAAACACGCTAAAGAGATTTGGTATAGATGGGCGCCTCAGACCAAATCGAGACGAGTGAGCGATACAAATTTTTCAAAACGCATTTTGGATAGAACCTACAAGATCAATCCTATGTATGGTCCCTTTTTGTATTTTACCTCTGCGTTTAAGGTCCATACTCTTGTAACCCAAGTTAATGTGAATATACATACAACTTTTTACCAAATAATATATATATATATATATATATATATATATTCCCAAATAAGTTTGACCAACTATCATCCAAAAAAAAGTTTGACAACGTTGTAATCTCATCTTAGGTTGACCCATTACAAAAAAAAAACGTTGTAATCACATGGAAAACTATTCATTGTAACGTGATTACATTCAATTTGGAGCGACAAATCAAGATTATCTGCCAAATAAAGCCCTTATTCTCGGCACAAATAGTGGAATCTTATCACATTTCCATCATTATGATATATATATATATACACACACACACAAGATTCCAAAAAAAAAAAACGTTACTTATCTAACTTTCACACAAAAAACCCATTAATTATCTCACTGATTTTTTTTATTTCTCTCTCTCTCTCTCTCTCTCTATATATATATATATATATATAGTTTGCAATTTTGAAAAATAAAAGAGCTATTCCGTCAATTCTAAGAAATTTAATGTTTTGAGTTTAGGGGAAAGAAAATATGATCTAGTAATTTTTTGGGAAAATAAGTAATTCAACTTTATAAAATATACCAAATAAATATCTAAACTTTTAATTTGATTTAATTGATATCTCAAATATTAAAATATTCCAAACAAATACATTAACCTATGAAATCAATGACAATTTCAAAGCTTAATTCTAAAAATGATTTTATAAATTAAATGTTAATTTTCATTATAAAAAAACTCATAAAATCAATTACAATTTTTTATCTCCGATGTTGATGACAATGTATGTTAATACCAACATAAAAAACGAACCGAGATAATTTGATCTCGATTTCATGAGTTGAAGTATCAATTTGGAACATTTCAATATATGAGATATCAATTTAGAATATTTTAATATTTGATATATCAATTAAATAAAAATAAAAATTCTTAGATATTCCTTTGGTAAATTTTGTAAAGTTAGGATATTTATATAGGATTTTTCCTAAAGTTTTTCATATATCTTGATACATTTACTTTTTATTAGTAATATTCTCACAAAGCTGGTCATAAGTTGAATGTTAGCAAAATATTTTAATAAATCAAAATTATATGAAAATATAAGAATAATCCATGTCAATAATCATAATTATGGAATACAAAAAAAAACACACTAAGTGGTTGTTATTTTATCTAACAAATTATATAAAAAAAATATGAAACTAAAAGTTTATCATTTTTCTATGAACACTCTCTTAATTAAATTTAAATCTTAAAATTATTTAAATGAAGTGAGATGTATGATTCTTTAATTTTTTATTTAATAAAATTCGTCAATTTCTGCTCCGAATTATATATATAGACACACTAGTAATAACGTAATCCCGACGTAGTCGGGATTGATGGGGTCTTGACTCCTTGTATTAAATAAATAAAATAATATTAGACCTCTGACAACGCATGCCACATCAGTGGCCCACGTTGAAAGTCCCAACAATTAAGGTTGTTGCCATGTCATTTTATTTTATTTTGAATCATCTTAAACATTCTGATATAATCAATCTCGTAACATTATTTACCATTTTGATAGAAACGTTATCTTTCGTAATTTTTTAATTCATATAGTTTAAAACTATTGTATTATTCTTCACTATATACTTTATTATTTGGTTACATTATTTTTTCATGCATGCCCATTGCCCATATATTAAATAACAATATAGTTAAGTTAAATAGTTTCAACTACGAATTCAAATAGCTGTTAAGAAAGTTTTGACATATATTAATTTCAATTATTTGGTATTTGACAAAAGAGCATAATTATATGTATATATATATATATATCACATTGATAATTCCGACTATGCAATATATATTTTAGTGGGAGAGAAATGAACATATTGCCACTTATCTAAACTGGTACGGACACGAGGAAAGATGAACTACACACACTAACAGCAACATTTCACACACGAAGACGTTAATCAGACATGCTTACCATGTCGCCGAAGACGAGCTCAGTGCTCGGGTCGGGACTCAGGCTAGGCCCCGAGGCTGGGGTATCGATAATCTTCACAATCAGCACTGGCATTTTAACAGATAAAAGTGAAAGTGTTTGCCCCAGTGAACACTTCTGAGTAATATTGGTTGAAATTAAGGTAGCCCCAGAAGCGAGAAAGCCCGACATTCCTGTGTTTAGGTGACCTCAGATAGCAAGAATGCAGTTCCTTCAAATGTTTGTCAAAATTCTGCTTTAGGGTCGTCACCTGCAACAATAAAGTCAGAATCTTGCAACAGAGTTCACACACCGGAAAAAGTCCCGACCAACTGGAATTTACCTGAGATGTGTTTATCCCTAGTGTGTTTGACCGTGGATTGCTTTGTTCTTGACCTGTGTGTGGAATGCCTCTCGGAAGACAAGACCGGAAATCCAGAGCACATTGTAGAATATTCTCTATGATGCTAGATATGGCCGTAGTTTCATCAGAGAGGAAACATCTGCGCGTAGATAACTTAAGTAACAAAATCTCGAAGAGTGTATAGGGTGAGTTAAGTTCCCACTCCCAACGAGTACAAACTTACAGCTTAAACTACAGAGGTATAGCAGATTTCTTGACAGAGTGTGAGACAATTTGATACCCAAAACATGAATTCTAAAGTCAAAAACTAATTGAAAGTTGATTATGAGAAGGACCAAACGTACATGTGTAGAGCTTCATTTAGGTAAGTCATATGAACAAGCTCGAGATCCATCATGTCCTTGACCTGGATAACCAAAGGGGGGGATCTGTAAATGTTAAGCAGGACATAGAAGTGTATTTTACTTCTACATCACACGATACTTTGGCAAAACATTGCAAATACCAGAGCTAGACCATGAACAAATAAATCAGGTGCATAAAGCAAAACTGTGCTCAAACCTTATGCCTGAGGGAATGAAGGAACTTGGACCATGATACATGAGACAGTTCTGACTGTACATATTGCTGTAATGTTGACACAAAATGATTGACCTGATGCCTGACATATGAAAAGACAGACATCAAATCATTTTCGTCACAAGCCTCGAGCAAAAATATTCTCAAGTTTAAACCCCAAACTACGTATCCTGCGAACTAAAGATTTAAAATATCTTAAATCTTTCAAAAATTGAAATCCAATGCCATAAGTTTCCATTTTTCTGCTCCCTGAGAAACAGCATCATCACTAACAGGGACACCAACATTGTGGTATTTTTCTGGTAGTAAGATGACAGGGTTCGAATCGGCAAAATATCCAAAATACTCTCCTTCTGCTAAAACTACTTCTGCACATACCCTCTTCCAGATGTGACCATGTGACCAGAATAACTGTATGGTCACATGATGTTCACATTGGTCACAATGTTAAATTTTAATGATTTCTCCAAGTGATTAGTGTGATATGTAAAGTGTGATCATGATGACTTGTATGATCACCATAAATTTAACGTTATGACCAATGTGACCATATAGTTATTCTGGTCACATGGTCACTCTGGAGGAGGGTTTGTGCAGAAGTAGTTTTCGCAGAAAGAGGGTATTTTGGATAATGCCCCGTTCGAATCCATCCCTCTACATAAAATGTAGGGGTAAGGTGGACTAGTATGTTCCCTTCCCCAGAACCCCCACTAGATGGGGATACGAATTGGGTTGGTCTTTTTTTTAAGATGACGGAAAGAATAGCAAGGTTTATTAAACAAAAGCATTAATTTAGTAGCTCAGCCGATATTGCATATATTATCATCATAGCAAGCCATTTGCATTAATTTAGTAGTTCAGAGTAGTGAATGATCATCATGCGAGATAAATCTTAGCATATGATCACCACACATCATGCAGCTTAATCACCTAAGTTCATGCATTCATGGAACTTCTTGGCAAAAACAATTTACCTACGCTATGAGCAAAAACTCAATGACAACATCTGACCAAGAAATGATGAAAGTGTAAGGTAATTTATCTTGAGATTACCTCAACTTCATCAATATGTTTAACCACCAGAGTTCTTTGTTAGTTATCTCCTGTTGGTTCTGATGCAACCTATGTCTCATGTCCTACATATCGATAGGCTCACTGCGTTATAAATCTTCAATTGAAGTCCAATTATGCTTCACCAGATATCAGCCAAACCATATTAGTAGGCTTTGGCACCAGAACTTAGAATACTGTAAAAATACTAGCAACAGAAACAATTCAAGAGGTAAGATTTGATGGGCAGGAAAACCATGAAATTACACAAGCTATTAACATTAAATGTAGTGAAGATCGTAATAACACATGTATAAGATAAGATGGTCTTTTACCTTCACTGAACACCAGATATCGGTCAATGCATAAGCTGCAAGCTTCACTTGAACCAGAAAACTAAATACATCAGCATATGCTTTCAGCGCGTCACAGGTCAAAACAATACTGACTGGCCAGTCCATTCGATAGCCCAACCCTAAGAAATCAAAGGAACGAACTCCTGCAATTTTGCACACAAGGATATCAGATTGATAAAGGGTGTAGTAGAAGTCGACAGGAATTAGTTTGAACACTGCAAAAACATACCTACAACTGATGATGCGAGATGCATTGTGTCTTGCTTTTTCATGTAGAGAAATAACCTGTCTTTACAAGGGTCTTGCTCACATGATGATCTCTGAATTGATAACTCTAGAAAACCTTGAATTTCAGCAATTCTCTTATCTGCCTCAGTAACGAGCCATTTCTGAGAATTCAAATGAGAGATGATATTATAAGCATCATTCTGAGATTCAAGAAGAATAAGAACGTTATAGAGTCTGTCAGCAGATTTACATGATGCCAAAGGGAGATTAAGAATTGATCTGCCCAATCAGCTAACTCCATAAAATGATAACGGCGTAGTGCGAGCAGATGTTCTTGCAAGCCAAATCCTTCCAGCAACTTGATAGCGAACTTACTCACAAAGTTATATCTTTCATTGTTAAGAGAAAAGCTATACAAGTGACATAAATAGTTATGTCATACTATCAAGAGAAAACCATAATGCAAAGGAAAATGACAGGGAAAATGGTCAAAATTCTAGACAGAATAGCATGTATTTTTCACATCTCAAGATATATAAAAGGATACTGAAGAATTATTTCCTGCAGTAGACATTTGTCTATGACAAAATCAAGCGGCAGCTCAAATGTGCCAAATGAGTTCTGCCTGCAATCACTTATTGCACTAGCTTCAGGGTACTTTGATAGACCAAGCAAACTTTCCCATCTACTTCCACCAAAAGCATTTGCTTTATCTTCCTCAGCACCACCCTTAAAACCTGAAGGTAGATGACTGTAGGAAACTTTAGGATCTTCAACATTGATCCTATCTGTGTCACATTTTTTGTTGGCATGGTTATGGTTCCTACTACTATTCAAAGAAATATTGGATTCCTGATGGAAACCAACGCGGGGGCCTACAGACAGCTTCGTAAGACATGCTTTAGATGGATCGTCCACCACAGAAAAATCAAAGCAAGGCAATGATTTTCCTTGGTGCCCCCTGTGTGCCTCTCCATGCTTGCTAACTGGGCTAAAAAGGTCACATTTCACCAGCACGGGATTAATACTGAGAACATTGGACAGGCAATTGATCTTTGGATCATTGAACAAAGACAACTTTGGTGAGGAACTGTTTCCAGCCCAGCCCTGCCATCTTTCCTGCTCTTTAGATTTACCACCAGCAGAGATGTTGAATAATGGCATGCTTTTACCAGTATTTATTACCCTCTTTTCTTCTCCCATATGGGCTCCAGAATCAGATGGATGTTCTCTGTCAGAATCTGTGTACTCCTTATCAATATAAAAGGGATTTTTAGGTAACACACCAAGTGGCCAAGACTTGATAGGAAGAGGGCCCCTATATTTAGTATCCATGCATAATCCAGTTGAAGCTTCTGACTTAGGATCCATACATTGACCATGCAAGGCTGTTTTTATGCATTGGCTCGTAAAATTATTGTCGATATTGCATGGTTTATCAAGTTGATGAACCACCTCTTTGCAAGAACTGTCAGCAGAAGCAATAGAGAAACGTACAGCTGATAAATGATTTTGCTTGGATAAAGTACTGTGTGAAACATGGAGTTCAGTTTCAGTTGCTTCCTCGGAATCCCCTGTCGATGAACATTCAGATGACCAAGTTGTATCTGTCTCTGGAAAAGATCTGTCTTCTGTACTCTGATCATCAGAATCCAAATCATACTGGTCCCTGAAATTCAAAGGTTTCACCATGAATCTACTTACAGCAGCATGTACAGAGAATACAAAGAATAGGGAAGAAGAATCACATGGTTGAATCCCTTTCAGCTACTGAAGGAATCAATAAACTCTCATCCAGAGTGATGGAACCCAAACTGTTTAGATTTTCTTGACCATCTCTATAGAATATTGGTAATGAACCTGCTCCAGCGACCTGAAATTCAAGTGCCAATATAGGATAAAACTTTAAATTTTTACAGGAATGTCATCTCAATAGCTTGTAATGTAATGGGAAATAAAATAAATATTATCACATAATTCATCACCACTGTTGGCTCATAGTCCTTGAACAGACAGCAAGAGAAAGAAGAATCACCACTACAATAAAGAATAGCCTACTGCAGTTGAAGAAACGCTTAAGCTCAATGTCAAAGTGATACTAACAACGTGGCATGAAACAGAGATATGCAGGAGATATCAATTCAACTGCATTGTTTAACTAAAGTGTCTCTGAGCTAATATGTCAAAAATCAGCGAACGATGTTTGCATAGATATGCCCAAAAGAGATAGAATGGATGCCACATAATATAATGATCTGGATAGATATCATAATTTACAAGGTATAATATGTACAGATAATTAGTGTGGGCCCGTATAAACAAATCACCAGATTGCCAGCAATAACAAGTGTGTCAAGGAACACGGTTTAAAATTCTGATTCAATTGATTCATTCTTAAGACGTGGAAATAGCTACGATATTATTACTTCACAAGAGATCATTCATAACATCAATGGATTAGAGAAAATATCAAACACAAACCTAAGACAGCAGTGAGAAAATACCAAACACATACTACCAGACACGTGGCATTTTATGGATAAACCAATAAACAATTCCTTCAGAAGGAAAAAGGAGGCTGACAACTGAAATAAAAAACAAAACAAAAGAAGAGTGATGATACCTGCTCGGAGAAGAGTTCTAACGTTTTGGTAAGATATCCAAGTTTATCCTGCATCCTTCTATAGTAATTGTCTCTTGCCTGTACTGTTGCTTCTATATGCATTTTGCTGAAAGTTATTGGAGATGCATGAGGTGGACTAGTGATAGAATAACAAGTCCAATGGGGAAGAAGATCCGCATAATTATCTTCTCTGGATGCAGAAAAATTACACAATTCAAGCAGCTTTGTGATTACTTGGAGCTGCTGACCAGCCCTCACCAATGGGACCAAGAAGCCCTCCAAGAAACAGGGAACAACTACTCCACGCTCCTAGAGTGCACAATAGTAGCAATCTCAGATCAGTAGATCGGAAAGAATAAAAATGACAGATGCTGAAAAAAATTACCAGATTCTATGTGCTAACTAGATTGCAATTACATTACCCTAACTGTAATCAAGGGAGAGATGCCAGGCTCACTCCACCAAAAAGGTTGCAATTCATCGGTACACTCCACTATAAACTCCTTGTGAGGGTCACTAACTTGGGCTTCAAATATCCACGATCTAATGAATCCACAATAAGGTTCACATGTTTTGAGAAACAAAAACTTAAGCATGGCACTGTGAGCAGGATCAGCAACCTATAATAAAACATGACGAGGAAAGCTTATTCAGTAAATAAGACTAAAATTAAATACGGATTTCCCTACTCTTCAATTGCTGTGATCTGAAATTTGGAAAATCAATGACCGGATCAAGTGTTCCACAAAAAAAATATATATTGTGCAAACAAACATTGATTTGGAACCTCATGTATTGTTCTTCATTTGTATCTCCTTTTCTTAACATATAAAATGCAGACATTGCTGTCGACAAGAAAAATACATATGCTACCAGCACTTTCCTTGAATAGAAAGACATGCAAATTTCATGCTGAGTACTGAGCAGTAAATCAATGACCAAATGTGAACGGAAAATTTTCAAACACTGGAGGTGTTGAACTTGGTTCTTAACTAATAATTCTGTGCATCAGAGAATAAAAGGATGAAGACCACATAAAAAGGTAAAGAAACTATTCTGACCTTTAGCTGAGAATACAGGTAACTAAGAAGGTCGCCTCCCATGAAGAACTTATGAAATCGCGAGCTTGCTTCAGCAGTCAGATTTTCCCAAGGAGCATCACAGTACGAGAGTGAAACATCATATACATCACAAATATTTGCAAGAGCTTCAATCTGGGTCCTTAACTCTCTCGTATGTAAGAAAACTTCCAGTAATGTCATCTTAGACTGGACTACATTTGTAAGGCAGCCCAACCCAGAGGAGTTATGAATGGATGCGTCCAAAATGTTAGATGAACATCTAAATTCTACTGATGCACATAATGTATTCAGTCCAGAGATATAGCCTTCAAGGACCTTTCTCACGGCAATAGCAAAAGCCTGATTCACTAGAGTGTATGAAGAGCAGCTCAGAGAATTGGCTTTACCAGCAGGGAAGTCCTGATTTTCTTCTACCTTATCCTTCTCCTGTCCGCAAACTACCGTTTCCACGCCCAATTTCATGCTTGTGAAATGATCTACAAACTTATGGAGAAGGAAAACCGAGGAACCAAAGCAGCCTATGGTCGTAAGAATGTGGCCAAGTGCATTGGTGCTTGATGATCGATGCCAAAGGCTTGGAATCTTGTGGAAAGTCCTGTCAGCTGGCTCAGAGCAGAAGGCAGAAGAGAGCTTTTCAATGCTAATGAGAGCTGACTCTACACCTTGTAGTGCATTCAATGCTAACCTGACCAAGCTTGATTCCTATACAAAGCAACGAAATGATGAAGAAAAAGACACCGAGAATGAAGATTTGAATCTCAAAAACTTAGTGCTTGAACTAAGTTTTGATCATGACATTCACAGTTTTGACAAGAGAACTGGAATGATAGAATCTTGAGGGGATGCTATCTGCCTCTCCTGAGGATCTCATCTAAGTACTAATGAAATGCCACCAAATTTCGATGCAAAGGTAGCGTTACTAGACAGTAGACACAGATATACTACAATGCACCTCTGTAATCATCCAGTGAGCACAAAAACACAAGACATCAAGCAAACAAGTGAGATTTGTTCCCCAATTCTCCATCTCATTTTCCTACTTTCAAAACATTTAGCCCCAATTTCATAGTATATATTCCACCAAGAAACCTAAAAATGTATCCAAGTTATCTTTCGGATTTAGGAACCCACAATCCTAGTCGTTACCAGTCAAACTTAACTATACGGCTGAAACCAAGAGTCCAAACTTTACCGAATAACTGATTAAAGGGTTTTATCCAAACAACCCAATCACTGAAAAGGAACAAAACTCACCCAGAAAGCATTGCCAATTCCTCCCGACGAGATAATAGCACATATATGTATACGCGTAATGTAAAGAGTAGAAGTGAGCAAAAACGAAAACTCACAGAAACAGAGGAAGACGACGGAGAAGCGGAAGGATGAGGAGGAGGCGGAAATCGTCCGCTCTCAGATGGTATGGATTCCCAAGTTCGCGGTGGAAGCCATGGCTCCTCCACTTTCAGCCTCTCCATCAGCGAAGCGAGGCTCGTCTCTTCCGCCATTCTCCTCTCCCAACTACAACGATCAGAGAAACCCAGAAGAAAATCGGATAAACGGAACTTGGATTTGGCCCAGAGACGCAAGCAGAACTTTTTCCAACAACACGGTACAGGTAACAACGCTAAAACCCCAGAACACAAATCCGATCAAATCGGCAAACCCATAAGCGGAAAATGTAAGTGAGATCCGAAGAGAACCAAAAACGAAAAAGAGAAGATTAAAAGGAACGGTAGTCTTCAATCGTCGAACTCAAAAGTGAGAGAGATCAGGAAAGAGGGAACTTTTGAAAGACCGGACGAGGATTGGGTTATGGGCCTTCAAAGCTCTGTGAATATATGGGCCTATGGATCTTTAGAAGCCCATTAACAAAGGTTCATTTTGGGTTTTCCTAGTGAAAAAGATTAGTAGGGAATAACATCGAGACAAAAAGCAAATAATAAATATAAATTTCAAAATATTTAGATGAACATTGCCTCTGGCTTGAAGATTAGTCGGTCCAAAGATTCAGATGTCACCTTTCGAAGTGTATCAGAGGAAGCTACACAGGTCTGCAATGGAGCAATTAACAGTTGAAGAAGAAGATGAAGAACAGAGATGAGAGAGAGATTCCTGAACTTTGTATTTCCATTCACTTACGGAGAAAATGAGCTTACATCTCAATTTATATACAAATAAAGAATAAAGGCTATATAACAAACAAAGGACCAATCACTATCCTATAAAACTGTACTAACGAAACTGTAGAATATGGGCATGAACTTCCTGTACAATGCTTTCTGTAGTACCAGCACAATAATTTTGATGTTCCCTTTAATATGCCCCTCAAGATAGAGAATATAAATTATGTATTCCCATCTTGGAGAGCAAGAACTGATATCGATCAGAAGCCAGATGTTTTGTCATGATATCTGCAACTTGCTGATGAGAGGAGACATGTAAAAGCTTTAGCAAACCGTTCTTGATGTGATCTCGGATGAAGTGACAGTCAAGTTCGATATGTTTCGAACGCTCGTGGTGAACTGGATTGCTTGCCAGTGATTCCATAAAATTTTGAAATTCATGGTGAGTGTATAAGCATCAAGGGCCAATGATTCCATTTAATCAACCCCAACAACTTCACATGTTTTCTATTTAAAAAAAAACAACTTCACATGTTTTGGTATCATTTCCTAGCTATCGATTAAAAAGTTCATTTTTTTAACTTTAATATTGTTAATAATAAAATTATATTTTACTTAAAAATAAATTAAATGAATAAAATTTATGTTTAAATTTTTTATTTAATTATTTTATAACTTTAGTAGATAGTGTTTTTAGGAAAAAATATTTTAAATTTTCTAAATTTGTAATTTGGAGTAATATTAATTCATGAACTTGTAAGTGCGTCTATTTATTCCCGAACTTGTATTTTTTAATACAATAATTTCTAAACTTATTTAATAGTTCCATAATCGTCTCCATACCACTAATTGTCCAAAACAAAGGTTAGTAATTATTGTATTCAAAAATGCAAATTTAGGAATTAATGTGTTAAAAAATACAAGTTCAAGAATTAATGTGTTAAAAAATACAATTTCGAAAATAAATAGACTACCCTACAAGTTCAGAAATTAATATTACACCAAATTACAAATTAATAAATTTTCAGGTATTTTTTTTTCTTTTATCAAATAATAATAAAAATTAATTGCAACTAATTTAAAAAAATATACATTAAAATTATATACTTTTTAGTAATTTACATCAAACCACAATCGCAATTATAGTCAACATTCACTTCTATTCGCAACCACCAACAATCATTGTCCACCACAATTTGTCAACCACTGAACACTAATCGCTCACAATTGCCAAGAAATGCAATCAAAACGTTGATACTCCCAACCGCAACCAATCGGACGTGAAAGACAATGATTGGCCTATCACATTGATTCATGAAACAATGTTAATAACCAAATGGAAGATAATTTATTGAGGGGAAAACACAATACTTTCTCAAAATAGAGAAAAACAAAATATAAGTAGGAAATAAAACTTACCTGATGGAGAAACTTTAGGACTTATCTAGCTGAGAGCGAATGAGCTTGGCGGCAGCAACCATGTTGCTAAGTGCGGGCTTAACTTCAGAGTACTTCCGTGTCTTTAGCCCGCAGTCGGGGTTCACCCAAAGGACGTTGCTGGCCAGAACCTCAAGCATCTTCTTGATACGGTCAGCTATTTCTTCAGTGGAAGGAATACGAGGAGAGTGAATGTCATATACCCCAGGGCCAATTCCAGCATCATACTTGACTCCTTCGTGGAAGACGGATAGAAGCTTCTCGTCCGAACGTGAGTTCTCAATTGTGATCACATCAGCATCCATGTCTATGATCGAGTGGATTATGTCATTGAAGTTTGAGTAACACATGTGGGTGTGGATCTGCATCAAGTATTAAACAGAGCATTGTCATTTAAAAGGTTTCATTTCACTTCCATCTTACACTTTTAACTGCATCCGTGTCTTAACGAACTGAATGACTTGCTGGTTTCAATTTGTTTTACAAGCTCAGGTTCTTCATATCATATTTCACTTTATTCCTGTATGGCAGGAAACCGAATCTGTTCCACTTACTAGAAAAACATCCATCCTAGTAGAAATGAACATATCGGTTGAGGTTTAGATGTACCTGAGTTGTGTCTTGCACATCACAATTTGTTATTCTGAAGGCATGAACGGCCCAATCGAGGTAAAAATCTTGTTCAGACTTCCTAAGAGGCAATCCCTCTCTCAAAGCAGCTTCATCGATCTGGATAACAGTGATACCGGCCTTCTCAAGGTCCCTGACTTCGTCTTTAATGGCCATTGCAATTTGGTAACATGTCTCGTTCCTAGCCACATAAAGAGGGTGTGATCAGATAACAGAGAAAGAAAATACAATAGTTAGGCTTAGTTTTCACACCTGGGTTGGTCATTTCTAACAAAAGACCAATTAAGAATTGTCACAGGGCCTGTGAGCATCCCCTTCATGGGACGTTTTGTCATTTTCTGCGCCATGGATGACCAGAAGACAGTCATTGCCTTTGGCCGGGTAACATCACCATAGATGATAGGCGGCTTGACACAGCGAGACCCATATGATTGGACCCACCCATTCAATGTGAAAGCGAAGCCTGACAGTTGCTCACCAAAATACTCCACCATATCATTTCTCTACAAAACCATGGCATATTAGGAAGCAAGGAAAAAATAGCTATAAGAGACTATAAGCCGGTTTCTAGATATCATTCACCTCTGGCTCTCCATGCACCAATACATCAATTCCGAGCTCTTCTTGGAGCTTCACAACCTTTTGAATATTCTCCTTGATAGCCTGAACATAATCAATTTCGGATATCCTGAAATTGTTTTACAGGCATAAGTTAGACCTTATATACATTATCCACGAGGTAGGATTTCTCAGCTACACCATCCAATTAGTTAAACCTTACTTTTTGGTCTTGTAATCCTTGCGTATCCTTCTGACATCAGGGGTCTGAGGAAAAGATCCAATTGTAGTTGTTGGAAGAGCAGGAAAGTTTAGCTTCTTCTGCTGAGCCTGTAGCCTTGCACTTACTTCTGTGGCACGGCGGTGATCATTCCGCTTTAGTGCAGCAGCCTGAGCAGAGAATAGGTAATGATACAAGTCCAGGGTACATTAGAAGAGCTAAGAATGATTCCCTAAGAATCACTTACGGCCTGTTGTACAGAAGCATTGGTCACCCTTGGAGATGATCTTCTTGATGCTTGAGCCATGGAATTGACGGAAAACAATCCCTGAGTAAAGATCAACACACAATAGTAGGCCTAAAGCGCAAGTAAATGTCCACTATGGATATGCACAAGATATCTGTATTCGCACAGCAAAATAAGTTAGTGTATCTAAAGTAGTCAATGCTTAGAAAATGCAAAGCAACAGCACTCCCCAAGGTATTATACCTAAAAGGCTAAAACTCGTATCCAAATAAAGCAACGAAAGAAGTACCTCATCCTTTAATCCAGACAATGCTTTGGCAAGAGCATTCACTTCAACAACCTTCTGTGCAGCAAATGCAAGCCAAGACTTAAGCTCCCTGTCAAGTCTTGTCTCGTTCGCCAAGTCCACAGCTGTATGGAGCAGAGAGCAAGAAGTAGAGACCACAACTTTTTCTGCAAAGAAGAAAGGAAGCCTCAGTCATTCCGAAGCAAAGTGTGTGTGTGTGAGAGAGAGAGAACAGTCTAGCAAATAGAGCTTATTTATACCCTCTCCAATAATGCCCTCAAGAGTCTGCAATGTTTTGAGCGAAGCAGACAGATCATTTGCCCAAACGTTCCTTCCATCAACAACTCCAGCAAATAGTAGCCTTCCAGGAGGAAAGTTCTCCTTGATTAAGTCAAGAGTCTTTGTCCCACGAACCAAGTCAAATCCAGATCCAGTTACACACTTCAAGGATGTTAGCATCTTGTATGCTTCAGGCGACTCTACCCGTTCTTGAACGCCAGTTTCCTGTCTCGGGTTTTCGTTGGAGAGTTCTTGGATCGGCTCCGATTTATGGC